AATTCAGGAAGAAACAGAATGGCCGAGGAAACCGAATGAGCATCCGAATTAATTCAAGCAAAGCAAAATCAACACAACTAGCGAAACCGGCACATTATTGCTCTTATGATACCCTATAATTTACATTCAAATTACAAGTTTATTCGTTTGTCATGCGAATACTAGGGTGCCTGATTTATAGAGGTGATAGTGTCTGTCCTTCGTGAAATGACCGAGTTCCGAGTTGTGAGAAGCTCCCATCACTTGCTTCCCCAAAATGTCCTCATACTCCCTCCACCATTGCATGTAGCTGCTGCTTTCCCAGAAAATATCGGGAGAAACCGCGTAGTTCTTGAGCAAACCCATAACATGCTTCTCGAACTTGACCAAGTTTTCTATTTCTGCGCTGTTCGATCCTCCGCTGTTCAACAACCTGCACGATATCCGTGCCTCCTCCACATGGGCCCAGAAGCATGAATCCTCTGTGACACTGAACATGATCTTCTTCATTTTCGAATCGTTAGGAACACTATTCTTGGGCTGTTTCTGATGTTCGTCCAGCCACTGTTCCAATAGCTTGAAGTGCTTGGATCTCCCTTGAGATATGTAACTTCTTTTGTCCCATTTATAGTACTCGGCTATGTGGAGTGGCTCGACCATCCTCCGGTAATTTGTCCCTGCGAAGAGCCAGCGGATCCGCATCGGTGCTCCCTCTCTCTGAGGCCTCTCCTCCGCCTCTTCCACCATGCGCTCCCAGTGAATTGTGAGCGGTTTTATGAAGTTAACGGCTCTGTGGTCACGCAGAGCCATTTTGTCCTTGAAGCTGTCGTAGTAACCAGAACAGAGGCCTTCGTCTTCGCATTTCTTCCTGTACCATTCCAAATTAGCCAGGTACACTTTCATGTCGTGTAAATCCTCTACAGGATCAAACACTTGATTCTTTCGTTCTATGACGTCATGTTCAGACATCACTATCTTCCTCAACAGAGCATCAACATCCATATTCTGCGGTTGCCATAACAATGAGAGTACAGTAAATGAACTTCCAAAAGGTGAAAGGAAAGCATTCATAACAATGGTTCATTCGAGTAGAGCAAAATTTTCGTGGTTAAGTGTGTGAAGCTAAATGTGGGGATACAGTTCAGTTTGGTTTAAAATGGCGAAGCACAATTATCCTTCTTGGTTTCGACTAAAACAAGTGCGACATCCCCCTCTGAAAGTATTCAGAACATGTACATGAAAGAAGGTACAATAAATAGTTACCTGAATTTGCAGAAGGCCAATTGCTGCAACTTGCGCAGTTATCCCAGCTTTAAATGAATCAGGATCAGGCACACTAAATGCAGAATGGTTCTTGCAAAACAATTGCCGTTTGAGACATTTAATGATGCTCTTATAATTGAAAATTTTGGCACTTTCCGGGATCCTGGGGGCAAGCAACTCAATTATGGATTTAGGGTCTTCGAAACATGCACCCCCCGATTCAGAACACACAAGAAATGTACCAAAAGGCTTGTATAGACTCTGTTCCATGGTCGACGGGTGAAAGAGTTTGGGGAAACAGTCATCCTTTTGAGGCGCATGCAAGAAGCAAGTACTCCAGGTTGAATATTGCGACATGGCTTGTTGGAAGCCACCGTCCCCGATGAGGGGTGAACCGAATGTGATGCAAAGTGGAGGCTTTGTGGTTGCCGAATCTAGTGTGCGTAAGAGCCATAACGTGAAAAGAGAGGCAATGGATCCACCCAAACAATCTCCAGCTATAATGTGTGGAATAGACTTGGAGGAAGTTACTACCTGCTTCAAAGCAGGATGAGCATCGACAAACACAAGTCTATGGGTGGGGGCTAATCAGATTTTCTTACTTGCACATGCATCCCAAAGTCAGTTTTGCGAACATCATCACATTATTTCCCTTTTTGATATTATTACAAAAAACAAGCGATTGAACAATAAAAAAACAAGAAAAAAAATTGGATACCGAAATTACGTGGTTCGGTCGATGTGACTTATCACATAGGGAGAGTGGCATAGGTTCCACTATAGATCAAAAGATACAATGAAAATTCTAACCATCCTCAAGTTACTAAAATACTCTCAGTGTTTCTCAACAGCCAAATCATACTATAATTCACATAAAAGTGAGTAGGCGTGAAATCTTCAATAAGACCTGATTCGTAGTCTGAGACCAACTCGTAGTGATCTCTCACAGTGACTATGAAAAGCTCATTGACCTTCAGAAATTAGTAACTAGAGCTCATAAATAACTCGAAAAGAAACGAAAGATAAAGGGTATTATTTGAGCTTTCAGGGGCGACAGCTTATCGTGGAGAGAGTTGAATAGAGAAATCACAGCTTTGTTTATGGCAAAAGAGGGGTTCGTCTCGGAGCAGAGAAACTGAAACTCAGAGGCCTCAGATGAAGAAGAAGGGACCAAATCGCTCTCTTCTTGGAGATAACTTTTAGCAACTGGTGGGGTCACAAAAGCAATGATTTTGTATTCCTTGTGTTCAAATTCATGAATTTTCACTGTTTCAGAAGACAATGGGCTCCGATGATTGGGGTCAATCTGGGACTGAAGTTCAGAGATTGCAGCCCACGAATTGCAAAGAATATCGGAGGACACAGCCAGGTTCGCCAAATTGAGGCCGTTGCTGAATCTGCAAAAACAAAGAAGTAAAAAATCAAGAACAAGGGACTGACTGAGAAACAAGAACCAAGAACGCGCCGACTCAGAAGCGGAAAAGGGTCAAATGACTGCGAAAAAATTCACTTCCTTCGCGGTTTTCAAATTTGGGTCTCTTGTGCTTCCGGAACAAACTATAAAGTTGAGCAAAAGGAAGAAGCTTTTTGTTTGTTTCTTTGGCTACTTACAGCGGTTTAGGAGCTTCCACAGGGTCCATTGTCGGAGCTACCTTGTTGGGCTGATGTTTTGGCGGACCCGGCGAGTCGATATTAGGTTGAACTGCGTTCTTTCAGATTTGAAGAATTAAAACAGTGAGGAGCATGCGGCAGTTCGCTGCAAAAACGTCCATATTTGAGGATGGCAACAAATTCTTCCTAAAATGCCAAAACCTACCTTTGCTTCTCCTTCGTGGCTCTCCAACCAACCAATGAACAAAGGATGGGTAAAAACTACAACGTATTTACGCGGGAAAATAACGTTTTCCTAAGAAGATCTACCCTTTGCGTACCTTCAACATTTTGTTTGTAATAAGTTCCTATTTCTAGGAATGCTGCTATAACCTTTTCTTTGTCCAACAGCCATTTTGTCGTCCGAGTCTGAGGACTATTCTTTGGAAAGTTGTTTGCAAGGAATGACTTCCTCCGGTCAATTCTTGAATGGGATTTTTTTTCTTTCTTTTGCCAGGATTTCTTGATTGGCGGTTGAGGAGGGCTGAACTTCAGTCTAATTGATTTTCTCAACTCGACCCTATAAAGGTTTTTCCGAGCTCGACTCGATCCTTGATGATGTAAGAAAAGTAGACCACTAAGACAAAGCCCAAACTTGAGATTTGGAAAATACAATAATAATAAATGCACCAAAAAGATCTTGCCGTAATGACCCGGTTTAACGAGGGCGCGAAGTAATCGCCGAGGCATGAGCGTCTGGACAAGGAGTGGCTCCTAGCTGACTTCTAAGATGGCGAAGGGGATAGGAATGAATTGAAGTGTACACTGAACATGGGGAGAGGATTTTGTGATGTGCGTTCGCATGTGAAAACTAGAATTAATTCACTGAGGCCCTTTTTAGCGTAACAGTAAGCTTTGCTTTGGAATTTCAAAGTTTAGTGTACTCGTACTAGAATACTACTAGGATGGGTGACTTCACTAATTGCACCACCGGATTGTTTTCCTTCTTTAGCCAAGTAGCCATTTAATAAGTCTCTTCTGGATTCTTATCCCTGTATATTATGAGCTAGTAATTGGCATTACAGGCATGCAACTTATTGACATGCAAAGATGATTATACTTTGATTTATTAGACAGAAAACGACAAGCCTATCATTAAACCGCTTAAGGAGGTATGTTAATATATGGAAAGCCGAAAAGTTACCAATCAAAGGGGGAGTGTTGAATTATTCTGGCCTGTGAAGTCCTATAAATGGCCACATTTTTCACCGTTCCGCCATATCAGTTGAATTTATATTGATTTTCCAGCGTGCGCTACAGAGGGCAAAACAACTCGAGCGAGAATGACGGAGGGTGCCAATGCTCGGCAAGCTACCTTCTCGAAACATCGACCAGGGCTATTCAGGAAGGCAAGTTAAGTATGTACTCTTTGTGCCGTTGAGGTGGCCATTATCGTTCTCTCTCCTGGAGGCAAGCCTCTCTATTTTGGTCACCCTTCTGTGGATGCAGTCCTAGATATGCTTGAGCATTTAAAGATGGCTTGTATTGATGCTTCTCAGCAGATTCTAACTGATAGAGACCTAATCCTAGAGAAACTGAACAAATGATATGCCAATGTGCACGAGCAACTGAAAGTTGGAATGAAAGGAGCTAAAGAGCTGAATGATATTAAGCCCCTGCGATTCTAAAACTTTAGCTTCAACGATTTTATGGTATTCAAGAAACGGCTGGAAGATCTTGAGAAAGCAGTGGACAAGAGAAGGATGGAGCTCTTGGCCTTAGAGGCTTCAAGTTCAACTCCATGCCCAAGAGCTGTTAATGCCTCTATCAGGAGCCAAAACGATGATAAATGCGGTGATCCTTGTAAAGCAGAAGTTGGAAATGAGTAATCAATTCCAGCGGACTTACGGAGAGATTGTTGACTCATGCTAAATTTCGGCATTATTCAGTCAATCTCTCCGCTTCAACAAGAGAGGCCTGCTGATAATAAAGCAGTAAAAATGCTCAATAAAGTAGCAGCTATCTCTTTTTTCTATGTTGTTTCGGTTGAAATTACTCGTTTTAATTACAGTCTTGTGATAGATGTTTTTCAACCAAATAAGAACCTGCACTAAAGGAACAAACGTACGAGTAATTCCTGAAAGGCGGAGCAAACATAAACTCTTGACTTCCGAATCAAAATTCTTGGACTCATCTTAAATTGAGAATTTGACTCGATTCAAGCAAAGCAAAATCAACACAATGAGCGAGGCCAGCACATTCTTGCTCTTATAATGCACTATAAATTACATTCAAATTACCCAGTTTATTCATCCGTCATGCGAATACCAGGGCACCTGATTTATACCGGTGATAGTCTCCGTCCTTCATGAAACAAGCGAGTTCCGAGTTCTGAGAAGCTCCCATCACTTGCTTCCCCAAAATGTCCTCATATTCCCTCCACCATTGCATGTAGCTGCTGCTTTCCAAGAAAATATCGCGAGAAACCGCGTAGTTCCTGAGCAAGCCCATAACATACTTCTCGAACTTGACCAAGTTTTCTATTTCTGCGCTGTTCGATCCTCCGCTGTTCAACAACCTGCACGATATCCGTGCCTCCTCCACATGGGCCCAGAAGCATGAATCCTCTGTGACACTGAACATGATCTTCTTCATTTTCGAATCGTTAGGAACACTATTCTTGGGCTGTTTCTGATGTTCGTCCAGCCACTGTTCCAATAGCTTGAAGTGCTTGGATCTCCCTTGAGATATGTAACTTCTTTTGTCCCATTTATAGTACTCGGCTATGTGGAGTGGCTCGACCATCCTCCGGTAATTTGTCCCTGCGAAGAGCCAGCGGATCCGCATCGGTGCTCCCTCGAACTGAGGCCTCTTCTCTGCCTCTTCCACCACGGATTGCCAGTAAATCTCGAGCTCTGTTTTGAACCTAACGACTTCATGGTCACGCTTGGCCATTTTGGTCTTGAAGCTGTCATAGTAACCAGGACGCCGGTCGTCGTCTTCGCACTTGTTCTTATACCATTCAAAATAAGCTAGGTACACTTTCATTTTGTTCAACGCCTTGGCAGGATCAATTGTCGGATTCTTTCGTTTCAGGATGTCTTGTTCAGGCATCACTATCTTCCTCCACAGAGCATCAATATCCATATTCTGCGGCTGCCATGACAACGAGAGTTCAGTAAATGAAGTTCCAACAGGTAAAGCGAATGCATTCATAACAAGGGACAATTCAGGTGGGTAAATTTTTCCTGGTTAAGTATGTGAAGCTAAAAGCGGGGATACAGTTCATTTTGCTTTAAATGGCAAAGCACAATCATCTTTCTGGTTTTGACTAAAACAAGTGTGAATCCCCTTTTGAGATGTACTCACTACATGTACACTAAAGAAGGTACAACAAACAGTTACCTGAATTTGCACAAGGCCAATTGCTGCAACTTGCGCAGTTATCCCAGCTTTAAATGAATCAGCATCAGGCACACTAAATGCAGGTTGGTTCTTGCAAGTCAATCGCCCTTCGAGACATTCAATGACGCTCTTATAATTGAAAATTTGGGAATCTGCAGTGCTACCATTCCTTTCCAGGCTCATCCGGGTGAGCAACTCAATTATGGATTCAGGGGCTTCGAAACATGCACCACCCGATTCAGAACACAAAAGAAATGTACCAAAAGGCTCGTATAGCCTCTGCTCCGCGGTCGACAGGAGAAAGAGTCTGGGGATACAGTCATCCATATGAGCCACATGCAAGAAGCAAGAACTCCATGTTGGATATCGCGATATGGCTTGTTGGAACCCACTGTCCCCAATGAGGGGCGAACCGAATGTGATGCAAAGCGGACCGTTTTTGGTGGCTGAATCGAGTGTGCGTAGGAGACATAGCGTGAAAAGAGAGGCAATGGATCCACCCAAACGATCTCCTGTTATAATGTGTGGAATAGACTTGGAGGAAGTTGCAACCTGCATCAAAGCTTGATGAGCATCGACAAACACAAAGTCTATGAGGGCCGATCAGATTTTCTATCCCTAGTCAGTTTTGCTAACATAAACATACTCTTTCCCTTTTGATATAGTTACAAAAAACAGACGATTTAACAATAAAATAAACAAAACAAAGAAATAAATTGGACACCTAATCTATGTGGTTTGGTCGACCTACCCTACAGGGGAGAGCGTCACATGATTCCAATACAGATCAAACGATACAATAGAAATAAGAACTGCACTCGAGTCGTCTAGCAGCCAATCACACTCAAGAACTAACAATTTCTTGCGAAACAATCTACATGATTCACAAATCTTACACAAAGATTTATTAGCTTCAAAACACTTATAATTGCTTCAGGATGTAATCCATGAGCATGCTGCACGAATGATTGTTACGGCCCAAAACTCCTTTATAATGGGTAAAAACCTAAAACCCACCTATTATGTATAATATTTGGATGCAAAATAGAAAACCTTTTTAGCAGATTCAAATTAGGTATCCAACTTCAATAAGGATTTGTTGTTACTCCATACATTTCTATCAACCAAAAGTCCAATCAAGACTTTTCTAATTTAAATCAAAAGTATTATTGGGATTCGGAATTTCTACTTAGATCGGGGACATGTTCTCAAAAATATTGTGATTTGGTCAAACAAAATCTCCGACCAGCTTTTGCTCCCCAGACTCTAGTTACGGGAGGTCAAAGGAAGGGAGTTGCCAGCTGACACTAGGATTACGGAATTCCTGACGAACCACTTCCTTATGATCTAGCTAGCTCCAATGAGCAACTTTGAGCAAGATTCAGACCCCAGGCTTCTTGAAAGCCTAATTACTTTACCAACTCAGCCACACTCCTTCGGTTTACGCACGTTGAATAAATCAACAATATTTCTAAGGTCCGGATGGGAATTATCCAAACACAGAATTTGAATTGCAGTCACATCTTGATTCACTCGGAGCTGCATTGGTATGCTTAAGTTTAACTCAAAACAATTTATTCCTTTTTCTCTTCTCGGCTAGGAATAGGATTAAGGTTAACTCAACTGAAAGGAATGGGAAAGGCAATGGGCCATCAATGCGAGAGACTCTGTTCAGACAATCGACAGACTGCTCATCATCAACCATTTTGCCAAAAGATGCAATTCACGCTCTGAAAGAAGCAAAATGGGGGTGATCCACTTTTTCATCAAACAAAGCTAATGATGTGGGAAGAAACAACTCAAAATGGTCATCTACGAAGCAACCATCAGAGCAGACACAAGCATTCCAGGACCCACTTCGAGAAGACCTGATCCCTAGATCTGAGACCAACTCGTGCGATCTCTCACAGCGACTAACAAAAGCTCGTTGATCTTCAAAATTAGTAACGGAACCTCATAAATAACTTGAATAGAAACGAAAGGTAAAAGGGTATTACCTGAGTTTTCAGGGGAGAGAGCCTATCTTGGAGAGAGTTGAACAGAGAAATCGCAGCTTTGTTTATGGAAAAAGGCGGGTTGTCCTTGGAGCAGAGAAACTTAAACACAGCGGCCTCTGATGAAGAAGACGGGACCAAATCGCCCACTGCTTGGAGATTACTTGTAGCAGCTGGTGGGATCACAAAAGCAATGATTTTGTATCCCGGGTGTTTAAACTCTTGAATTTTCACGGTTTCAGAAGACGGTGGGCTTTGGTCAATCTGGGACTGGAGTTCGGAGATTGCAGCCCATGAATTGGAAAGAATATCGGAGGACACGGCTAAGTTCACCAAATCGAATCCGTTGCTGAATCTGCAAAAAAAAAAAAATCAAGAACAAGAGACAAGAAACAAGAACGCGTTCATCAGGAATCGAAACGGGTCAAATGATCGCGTAAGGTGCACTTCGTTCGCAGATTTCGAGTCGGGTCTCTTTCGCTTTCGGAACAAACTATAAAGTTAACGAAAGATAGAAGAAGCTTTTTCTTTTGCTTTAACACGTACAGAGGTTTAGCAGCATGAGCAGAGTCCATCGTCGGAGCTTCGTTATTGGGCTGCTGTTCTTGCGGAACCGGCGAGTCGATAACGGTTGAGCTGCGCTCTTCGGACTCGGAGAGTTGAAACAGTCGGAATCAAGTGGCAGTTTGCTCCATGAAATTCCCCCATTGGCAAACTCAAACCGGACAATTTAAACCTCGAGATGGGGACTCTCAACCCCAAGTCAACGACTGGTTCTTTGTTTAGTCTTTTCCTTTTAAATTAATGTTATATTGATGTGAACTTCTCGGAATCAGCGTGCGCCCACATTTGATGTCCGGGAACAAATTCTTTTCCTAAATGCCAATAGCTGTTCTTTACTCTGCTGCTGCTTCTTCGCGGCCCACCAAACAACCAATGAAGAACCGGAAGGGGTGTAAAGTATGAAGGACTTACGCGGGAAAATGACGTTTTATTCTCAACCAGGTGGAGAAGATACCGATGTATCCTTCGCGCACCAGTAGACTTTCTTGTCTGTAATAGATCGTTTTTTCTAGGATGCTGCTATAAGAGAGTTCGTCCCTTTTCTTACTCCTACTACCACTCTGTCGTCTGAGTCATGAGGAAGGTGCTACCGAGGTTGTTGGCAAGTAATGACTTCCTCCGGTCAATACACGTCTCTGTACTTGTGATATTTTGGGTCTTGTTTTGACCAAGTCAAAAAGATTGTGGTGGGACCCACAAGAAAAAGAAAAAGAAGACTGCCGAGAGATAAAAGGGAAGAAAGGGCAAAGTGCAATCGTCCAAGTGAACAGGGAGAACCGAGAGAGGAAAAGAGAAAAAAAGAAAAGAAGAGATAAGGACGTTAAAAGTGTTATAACTTTCGTACGGCACTCGTTTGAATATCATAATTTTTTTTTGCTTACTTAAATATTATATCGGAGTAAAATAGATTATTTGAGTATCACTTCCGATGAAAATAGATCACTTGAGTGCCAGTTCCAATAAATGAGCTGACGTAGATTTTTTAATTAATTTTTCATCCGACATGGATTTTTTCTAATGTTATTTTATTTTATTTTATTGATTTTTTTAAAATTTTCTTTTTCTTTATCTTTTTATTTTTATTTTTATTTTTCTCTCTTATTTTTTTTTTTTTTCAAAGTTGACGAGGGTCGTCGGTGACCCTTGCCGGAGGCCTTGCCCTTGGGCAAACTGGGCGAGGGCCACCTTGCCATCGGCTGGTATGGCCACGAACGCCCTTGGCAAGGCCATCGTGGCCTTGCCGCTGCGAGTGAGGCGGCGAAGGCTCTCCCTAGATCCGGCGAGGCCGCCTCGCCCACGGCCACGAACGCCTTTGGCGAGGCCATAGCGGTCTCACCGGCCGCGGGCGCGGTGACGAAGGCTCTCGCTAGATCTGGCGAGGTCGCCTCGTCCGCGGTCGCGAAAGCCCTTGGCGAGGCCATCGCGGCCTCACTAGTGCGGGCGAGGTGGCAAAGGCTCTCACCAGATCTGGCGAGGCTGCCTCGCCCGCGGCGGTGAAGGCTCTTGCTAGATCTGTCGAGGCCGCCTCGCCCGCGGTCGGCGAGACGGCCTTCGCAGCCTTGCCTAGGGCCTTTGCGGCCAAGGGTAAGGCGGCCCTCGCCCAATCTGGGTGAGGCCTTCAAAGCCGGCAAGGGTCGCTGGTGACCCTCGCTGGCATTAAATTTTTTTTTGCAAAAATTAAAAAATTAATAATAATAAATTCATAAAATATTAAAATATTATCCACGTCAGCTTTTTGGCGAAGCCACGTCAGATTTTTCGACTGCCAAATGGCATTTGGCACTCAAGTGATCACTTTTTCAAATTTTTGGCACTCAAGTGAGCGAAAAAAAAAGTTATGGCACTCAAGTGAGCGCCGCACGAAAGTCATGGCACTCCTAATGTGCTTATCCCGAAAAAGAAAGAGAAAAAAAAGGAAAGAAGAAGAAGAAGAAGAAAGAAGAGGAGGGTTTCACGTGGGCTCGTCGCGGGGGCTTGCCTAACCAATTCGATTTCACGTCGCAACGCCCGGTAAGTGTTCACGCCTTTCGTTCGTCCAATTGGAATATTTTTCGGGATTAGAGCACAATTTCGAACTTTTGTGAAAATCAAGCCACGAAGTCTGATGTTCGAGTCGTTGAGTTGCGTGTGATATATAATTGGTAGTTTAGGATGTCGTGAAGCTGCGGAATTTTACGAAACTCGATTTGGACTTACCGTTTGCCCAAAATGAATTTTGAAGTTGAGCGCGCGTGGTGAACAGTGCGCGATCAGCGGCTTTTAGGCTGATTTTCGTCGATTTTCGGCTCAATTTTGAGATGGTCAAATAGTGGGTCTTCTAGTATGTCGAAAGATCTTCATTTTAACTATAAGCTTGCTTAAAATAGGGTTCGGTGGAAAGAGTTATGGGACGACCAAGTTTCGCGTTCAAGCTACATGTTATAGATAACTTTGAATATCCGTTTCGGTTAAAAGTTTTGTTAGCGCGTAAGAGTCGTTTTGTTTGCGGTTGAGTTTGGTTTAGCCGATTCATAGTTGAGGTAGCGTGTTGCTCGATTTTGACGTTGTTTCTCGCTCATTTGATAGGATCGCGAGTTGGACGGTTAAAGTAACGTTTGTTGTTTAGTTTTGAGTATTCCCAGGTGAGTGGTTCTATCTTTTTTTGAGTTGTAAACTCATATTTTGAAAATGAGAAGTGTGAGACATATTACGTGCAAAGTGTGATTTGGCTAAAAGGCAAAATTGATATTCATAGCATATTCGATGCATTATTTCAGATCAGGCATTCACTACTTTTTAGCTATTTGTGAATGGTTTAGGAAACATTTTATGAAAGACAGTTTCGAAATATTACTGGTTTATGAAATGAATTTCAAAATGGCGTGAGAAATGTCTTGTGATATTAAATTCTGTATGATGAACAGAGTTGGGAAAGATGATATATTTTGGGTTTGCGAGACCTTTTTGTAAAAGAATTACATTGACTTTGAGTACGGTTTATGAAAGGTGATTTGATTCGGTTTGTGAAACCGATTGTGATATGGACCGTTAAAGGACTAACTGTTACACGATAACATAAATTCGTGTGAGCCACCTCTAGAGCCTTGTTGTCAAGGACTAAGTGCTACACGGCGACTCGGGTCACGTGGGAGCCACCTCTACGGCCTTGTACTATTAATATGTGTAGTAAATAACTAAGTGCTACATAATAACGTAAATTCGTGGGAGCCATCTCTAGAGTTTTGTATTATTAATATACGTTGGTCAAGGACTAAGTGCTACACGATAACGTAAGTTCGTAGGAGCCACATCTAGAGTCTTGAGTTGAATATTGGGCATGTAATGGACCATTAACACGTGATTTGACGAGTTTGATTATTGAACTGGACTAGTAATACCGATTGTGATATTATGGATGAATGGGTATTCATGCTATGAATATATTTATGTCTTTGAGTTTAAATGTGTATTGTGGAGGCTCAACTTGCTTAGAAGATACGTACTATTCACTGAGCTATGATTGCTCACCCTTCTCTTTTTCCAATCTTTTCAGGTTTCTCGGCCGGCGGCCATTAGTACGAGAGCGCTATCGTGGGGACTTTTGGGAGTTAGATTTTGGGCTACGTCCTTCGGATGGAAGGATGACCGTGTCATCCCTCGTTTTGGTAGGTTTTGGGGTGTGACAGTACTTGAGTCCGGCCTTTTCGACTCAAATGCTGCTCGAACTTAATTTGAGCTCGATTGAGTTTCTGGAGTAGCTCGGCGTCTATGGAGTGAAGACCGCAAGGTGAGGCGAGATCCAATGCCAGTGTGATGCAGTTAGTTGATAAACTAAAACATCTTTCTTTTGAGGGTGATGAGAGAAGAAAATTGTAATGTCTGTTGCGGATTAATGTTTGGTCGCTAACTGATGCACTTATTGAAAAGCATAGAGTCGTAAATAAGGGGAAAGGTACTAAAAAAGTCCTAAACCTATTGCATTGGCACCCATTCAGTTCTAAACTTTTCAATTTGACCAATTTAATCCTAAACATTTTCACATTAGTACCAGTTCAATCCATTCGGCCAATATAAGTTGGAAATTGTAGGATGGGCTAGTGGACGACTGGCACTGACGTAGACATTTTTAATAATTTTTTGAATCTTTTATTAATTTTTCAAAAAAAAATTCTTTTTCCTTTTTTTCTTTCTTTTTTTTTATCCTTCTCTTTCCTTTGGCCTATGGTTGGTACTCATTTATGGCCAACAGCTAGCCATGTACGAGGGTTGGCGAAGGCATTGTAGCCCTCGCTAGATCTGGTGAGGGCTCGACCTTTACGGTGTAGGTAAGGGCCAACCTTGTCGAATCTGGCAAGGGCCACCCTCGCGGCTTTTAGTGAGGGCTACACCCTCGCCTGTGGCCTGCCATGGCCGAGTATCACCTACCACAGGCCAAAGAAAAGATAAGGAAAAAAAAGAAACAGAAAAAAGGGAACTTTTTCTTAAAAATTAAAAAAAAATTCAAAAATTATTAAAATATTATTAAAAATGTCCACATCAGCGCCAGCCATCCGCCGGCCGTGTCATGTAGGACCGGCGACCATATCAGCGATTTTCAGTCTAAATTGGCCGGATAGACTAAACTAGTACTAATGAGAAAAAGTTTAAAACTAAATCGGTATTAATGCAATAAATTTAGTACTTTTTTTTATATTTTTTCCCCATAAATAAGTGTGGTTGTTAAACATCTCAATTCTGGAAGTTTATTATTTACAATGAGCCGTCTTTTCGTATTATATATAGCCAGTGCATCATAAGTAAACACATTCTTTTTATTAGATATGATTAACAAATATTTGGGGGCACTTATTAACAAGCGCCAATTATAGGAATTTGACAAAGAAAATGGTCGGAATCCTCTAAACATAACAAGTAAAAATAACAAGATTGTAAAAATTGCCTTTTCATAGAAAAATCATATTTTTTTTTAAGTAAGGTCTTTGAGAGGTCTGTAAAATCGAATCATCCCATCTAGTTATACTAAGATTTTACAAATTGTTAAGAATAAGTTATGTCTTCACTCTGTATAAATGATAAACAAAAGAGAATAACACGACAGGGAGGAGACAGCTATTAGACACACTTACACTAAGCGGTATTGCCAATGAGATAACATAATACAAACGCAATATTACTACATTATAATTTTACAATCCGTACCTCTGAAGAAAATATTAGCATAATAAAAACTGTCTAAATATGAGAGAGATATAGGATTATCGGAGCTTAATCATGTTAAACCCTTAACTTTGAATTTAGGGAACAAAAAGCATTTATTAAAAAAAATTGAAAAAAAGTTGCACTTTAAACCCCGCCCTCCGACCCAAAAAAAAAAAAAAAACCCCACCCTCCTACCCCCTAAAAAAGGTACGTATCCTGTATCTGCTAACGGAAGAAGTAATGGTGTTAATAGGTGAAACAAAATGCAAATTCAAAGAAGTACTATGACACATTTAAAATTTAGGGATTTATCGTGCGTCAATCTCAAAATTTAGGTGGGTATGAAAAAAAAAAAGTCCGGACTACTACTTGCTAGGGGTGAACATGATTTCAAGGTAAAACCTAGAATCTAAGAACCGGATCGGTAAGAACCCGTCGGTTCCAGGTTCTAGGTTTCACATTCTGGTTCTAGGTAGGTAGAACCTGGAACCTGAAACAAGTCTTTGTGTTTTTCTTAGTTTATGTCTTCACGCGATCTTGCGATATTCCATAACGTCCGATGATGAGTGTATAATATAGAACCACTGGTCTAAGCTTCCATTTTATGACTAAGACTTTTACTTTATTAATGTTTCATATTCTTCGTGAGTCTAAATATAAGTTGTGGTCAGTGGATTATAGTCGCAATGATGGTCATTAAAGGTGATGATTCATTGCAATTGTTCAATTAATAATACAGGTGGAACCTAAGTAGACCCTAGAACTTGTGACAGGGTAGGTTCCATATTCCAAGTTATACATGGTAGGTTCCAGGTTCCAAAAAATGATAAACATGTTCTCACGGGTAGGTTCTAGGTTTCAAGCTGAATCTGTACAAAACCTGAAACCACTCACCCCTACTAATTGCACCGTGGGATTGTTTTCCTTCTTTAGCAGTGGAACAGTTCAAGAAGTGTCTAATCTGAAGCCACTAGTCTGAACTTTCATTTTATGATTAAAACTTTTACTTTATTAATGTTTCATATTCTTCGTGTGCCTAAATATAAGTTGTGGTCAATGGATTGTAGTAACAAGTGATGGTCATTAAAGGTGATGATTCATTGTAATTGTTCAATTAATAATACAGGTGGAACCTGAGTAGACCCTAGAACCAGTGACATGGAAGGTTCCATATTTCAAGTTATACATGGTAGGTTCCAAGTTCCAAAAAATGAGGAACATGTTCTCACTGGTAAGTTCTAGGTTTCAAGTTGAACTTGTACGGAACCTGGAACTGCTCACCCCTACTAATTGCACCGTGGGATTGTTTTCCTTCTTTAGCTAAGTAACCGTTCAAGAAGCGTATAATCTGAAACCATTGGTCTGAGCTTCCATTTTTTGACTAAGACTTTTACTTTATTAATGTTTCATATTCTTTATGTGTCTAAATATAAGTTGTGGTCAGTGGATTGTAGTAGCAAGCGATGATTATTAAAGATGATGATTCATTGCAATTGTTCAATTAATAATATAAGTGGAACCTGAGTAGATCCTAGAACTTATGATAGGGTTGGTTTCAAATTCCAAGCTATACAAGGTAGGTTCCAGGTTCTAAAAAATGATAAACATGTTCTCACGGGTAGGTTCTAGGTTTCAAGCTAAATCTGTATGGAATCTGGAGCTGCTCACCCCTACTAATTGCACCGTGGGATTGTTTTCCTTCTTTAGCTGAGTAACCGTTGAAGAAGTCTCTTTTGGATGGATATTATGAGCAAATAATTGACATTGCAAGCATGCAACTTATTGACATAAGATGAATATACTTTGTTTCATTAGACGGAAAACGACACGCTTATCATTAAACTGCATAAGGAGGTATGTTAATATGGAAAGCCGAAAATTTACCAATCAAAGAGGGAGTGATGAATTATTTTGGCCTGTGAAGTCCTATAAATGGCCACATTTTTCACTGTTCCACCATATTACATTGATTTTCCAGCGTGCGCCACAGAGGGCAAAGCAACTCGAGCGAGAATGACGAAGGGGAGTGCCAATGCTCGACAAGTTACCTTCTCGAAACCTCGACCGGGGCTATTCAAGAAGGCAAGTGAAGTATATGCTCGTTGTGCCATTGAGATGGCCATTATCGTTCTCTCTCCTAGAGGCAAGCCTTTCTATTTTGGTCACCCTTCTGTGGATGCAGTCCTAGATAGGTTCGAGCATCCAAAGATGGCTTGTATTGATGCTATTCAACAGGCTCAAACTGATAGAGCCCAAGTCCTAGAGAAAATGAACAAACAATATGCCGATGTGCTTGAGCAACTGAAAGTTGGAATGGAAGGAGCTAAAGAGCTGAATGATATTAAGCCCCTGCGATTCGAAAACTTTAGCTTCAACGATTTTATGGTATTCAAGAAATGGCTGGAAGATCTCGAGAAAGCGGTGGAAAAGAGAAGGATGGAGCTCTTGGCCTTAGAGGCTATCAATGGCTCTATCAGGAGCAAAAACGATGATAAATGCTGTGATCCTCGTAAAGCAGAAGTTGGAAATGAGTAGTCAATTCCAGCGGACTTACGGAGAGATTGTTGACTCATCTTAAATTGTATTTGGCATTATTCAGTCAATCCCTCCGTTTCAACAAGAGAGGCCTCTTGATAATAAAGCAGTAAAAATGCTCAATAAAGTAGCAGCTATCTTCTTTTTTCTATATTGTTTCGGTTGAAATTGCTCGTTTTAATTATATTCTTGTGATGGATGTTTTTCAATCGAATAGGAACCAGCACTAAAGGAACAAACATATGAGTAATTCCTGAAGATGAAAAAACAGAAAGGCAAAGCAAACATAAACCCCTGCCTTCCTCGCGAGATGTAACACCAGTATCCCTAAGGGTGGGCAAAACGGACCACTCGGATCCAACCGAACCGGCCAATTTTGTCCTGTTCCCGGAGTGTCGGTCCAATTCCTGGTTCCTAAAAGTGGAACCGGTGTCCGAGCGGTCCGATTTCCAGTTTCAAAGGGAACTAGACCGAACCGAACCGAACAACCCAACCAAACTGATTACATATATTTTATTTATTTATTTTTTTATTTATATAGCTCACTTGGCTAACTCAAGGTGCTAGGGGTAGTTAAAAGTCAAAATGGTGTGGAAAAAGCACAGGCCTTTGATAATAAAATAAACAGAAAAGGAAATAAATCGGATATCGAATTTATGTGATCCGGTCGGTGTGACCTACCCATGGGGAGAGTAGTACAGGATTCTAATGTAGACCAAGCATACAAAGGAAATTACAATCGCAGTCGAGTTACTCAAACAACTTCCAGATACCAATTACACTCAATAACTCACACAACATTTAGCCTTACAATTTCTTTCAAAACTAGAATCACAAATCTTGCACAAGATTTATTAGCTTCAAAACACTCATAATTTCTTCAAGATGTAATTCACAAGCATGCCATACAAATAATTGTTACGGTCTGCTCCCTAAATGGCAAAAACCAAAACCCACCTCTTATACATATAATAGTAGGATGCAACATAGGAAACCCTTTAGCAGACTCAAATTAGGAATCCAACTTATTGTTACTTCATATATTCAGTCAACTAAAAGTCCAATCAAGACTTTCCTAATTTAGGTGGCAAGTCCTATTGAGATTTGGAATTTCTACTTGGATTGGATTTCTTTATGACTTCAAATTAGAGACATGTTCTCAACACATATTGTGATCAAGTCAGACAAAATCGGAAACCAGCTTTTGTTCACTAGTCTCTAGTTACCTCCGCGGTCATTCAAAGGAAGGACATTGTCGGTTGACACTAATTCACGACGAATCACTTCCTTATTATCTAGCTAGCTCCAAGGAGTAACGATGAAAAGGATTCGGACCTAAGACCCACGCTTCTTGAGACACAAAGCCTAATTACTTTACCAACTCAGCCAAACTCCTTCGGTTCACACACATTGAATAAATCAACAATATTTCTAAGGGCCAGATGGGAATTTATCAAAATGCGAAATTTAATTTGCAGTCATATCTTAATTCATTCAGAGCTGCATCGGTATGCTTAAGTTTAACTCAAAACAATTTGGTCCATTTTCTCTTTTCGGCTGGGAATAGGATTAAGATTAACTCAACTGAAAATAATGGAAAAGGCAATGGGCCCTCAATGCGAATGGGTCTTTCTTTATGAAGCGTTAGAAAAGTCGTTGAATGCAGTTGTCCATTCTGACGAATCTGTGGATCCTTCTATTGGGGGACAAAGTAATAAATTGCTGAGAACTGGCCCAAGTTTTCCTTCTTCTCTTTTCAAGTGGGCATTCACACAAGGCTTAGAGAAAATTGTCAAATAAATGTGAAAACCGTCACTTCCATACAAAAGGTTCCCAAAAGCATCAACACAAAAGAAACAAATTCACAATAGAATTTGAATGCAAGAATGAAGCAGGTCACAATCCCATGAGATATAGTTAAAAAGAAATTGAAAGCTCTATTTCATATGTGTAAAAGTTTTCAAAACCGTCATGAATCTAAGCTATATTCTAGTCGAACACAATTGAAAAATGTGCCTTGTATTGGGAGAATATCTGGATTGACTTGGTCTATGTAGGCCAACATGATCATCACCATTAAATATGTAAGCCGTACAAGGGGATTTACATGATCAATTGCTATGATGATTTTGGTATTTCCAACTCACTCTTTGATGCCCTTGATGAATCAACAAGCGCGCATCATAGATGCGCATTCTAACAGCTATAAAAAGTACGAAGGAAAAAATCACCAAAAATCCCAAACTTTACCATCTGTGACACATTTACCCCGAATTTTTTTTTGTGACACCAAAAACCCCGAACTTTACTTTTTGTAACACATTTACCCCAATGTATTTAGTCCATGGGCATTTAGGGCGGCCTCACCCGATTTGGCAAGGTCGACCGGCCCGCCCTGCCGAGCGAGGCGGCCTCGCCCGCATCCTGGGCGAGGGCGCCTTGCCTGCGCTTCTGGCGAGGTTCGCCTCGCCTTGGCGAGCGAGGTTCGCCCTCGCCGGGCGAGCGGTGGCGCCGCCCGATCTAGCGAGGTCGACCTCGCCGGCGTCCTGGCGCAGGGTGACCTCGCTTCGGGCGAGCGGGGCGGCCTCGCTCGACGCCGCGAGGGCGGCTCGCCTCGGATCGGGCGAGGGCGACCTCGCCGGGCGCCGAAGCGAGGGTCACCTCGCCCGATCTCGGCGAGGTCGACCTCGCCGGCTGCCGGCGACGGCCGCCCTCGCCGGATCCGGCAAGGGCCGCCTCGCTCGACGCCGGCGAGGGTCTGGACTCTCGTCATATCGGGCGAGGGCCGCCCTCGCTCGCCCAGCGAGGCGGACCCGCGCTGGCGGCGAGGGTCGCCGCCCGGGCGAAGCGGAGGCGACCCTCGCTGACGCCGGCGAGGGCGACCCTCGCTCGACGCCGAGCGAGGGTCGCCTCGCCCGGGATCTGGCGAGGGCCGCCCGACGCCGACGAGACGGTCGACCTCGCTCGAGCTCGGGCGAGGCCGCCCTCGCCGCCCGTGCGAGGCGAACCTCACTGACGCCGGGCGGGGCCGCCCTCACCGGATCTCGGCGGTTGACGGCCTACCCTGCTCGACGCCGTGAGGCCCCTCTCGTCACGGGAAAAAAAAGAAAAAGCAAAAAGACGAAAATGCCCATGGACTAAATACATTGGAGTAAATGTGTCACAAAAAGCAAAGTTCGGGATTTTTGTGTCATAAAAAAGTTCGGGGTAAATGTATCACAAATGGCAAAGTTTGGGGTTTTTGGTGGTTTTTTCCAAAGTACGAAGAATGAAGAAGTGCTGAGTCGATAGAATTCAAGTATAGTTTTGATCATTCAATTTGGTCAACTTCTACTTCATTTGTAAATGCAAGAACAATTTTTTTTTTTTTTTGGTAAGGAGTAAATGCAAGAACAATTTGAGTGTGTTTGTTTTAATAAAAGAGCTTTCTGCAAATTAATTTTCTAGACTTTTACGTGTTTGGTTCTTTAAAAATAGTAATCAATAAACACGATTACGGCAAAAAAAACACCAATACTTAAAATTAGGAAAATAAATTTTTATTTTTTAATGGAGAAATATTTTTCCCAAGTATAACAAACATAGCAAAATAAAGCTTACACTTAAAATAAAAATCATTTTCCCATTAATGACGAGCATTGCCCGCCCCAGACAGTTTTTAAAATTAAATTAAGGGTTAATACCACCAAAAACCCCAAACCAGTACGCCTTTGACAAATTACCTTAAATTAATTTTTTGATAACTAAAAATCCTAAACTGGTACACCTATGACAAATTTACCCTCCATTGGTTTCTGTTAAATTTTATCGTCAAATTACTAAGTTAAATGACACGTGGCGGTTCACGAGTGCATCAATTTGGAGTTTTACCCTCCGTTTATCACAGGTGTACCAGTTTGTTATTTTTCATGGTATTGATCCAATTTAACAAAAGATAAATTTGTCACAAATGTATCAGTTTAGAATTTTTTATGGTCAAAAAATTAGTTTGGATCAAATTTGTTACAAGTGTACCAGTTTTGGATTTTTAGTGGTCAAAAAATTAGTTTGGGATAAATTTTCACAAATGTATCTGTTCGGGGTTTTCGTGGTATTAACCCTTAAGTTAAACAATTTGATAAACAAATATATATATATTAAGTATTCTTATTTTCTATTAGTAAAAGTGATACAACACCTATTTTAGAAAAAACTAATGAGTAACACCCATTTAATTAAACACAAGGGACCTACAAGTACATCTTCACATAATGTGAACAAAAATTACAAGTAGAAGTACCCTAATAACAATTATACACATATTACACCACAAGAATGTTTAATAAATTCGGTGTCTTCGGCGCCATGTTCCTCACCATGATTTAGATGATAAAGTGTAGTTGTTGTCCTCTTGTTCACGTTGGGCGCGTTCCGCTGTAGTCAATTTTTGCAATGACCAATTATGTCCGTAGACAACCATTTTGTACATTTTGTGTAGTCAAGCTGCACATATTGCCGTCCATGATTTATTGACTAGCACTGAACTTTGACTCTGACGGTACCGTAGGAGGTTAGTAAGTCACGAGCCCTGTTGAAAAGAACCAGAAAACTTCGTTGTAAGAAAGTCGATTTCATAGTTGCCCAACCCTGTGAATGTCTTTGAAGTAGCTTGTTGTCATGTATTTACTCATTGGCAGATGAATACAACTCACCCGGTCCCAGAACTTATGTTTTTTTTGGTCCCAGAACTTATGTTGGATTTGGGTATTTTTGAGGTTTTGGTGGGATGTTTTGCAACGGATAATATAGTGTAAGAGCGAGGAAATGGCACAACCATATCCATCAGCACCTCTCCTCCTCCTCCTCCTCATCTCCTCCTCCTTCCTCTTCTCCAAATCCACTTTCCCTTGAACGCAATTCATCCACATTGTCTAGCGGACTGTCGCCGACCACCAACCTGCCGAGCCCAACACCGCCTCCGGCACGCTCCGCCTCTTCTTTCACGCTGCCTCATCGCTGGCTGCAACGCCTCCATCCTCCTCTCTTCCACCAACCCCTCCGAGCCCGCTGAGTGCAATGCTGACAAGAACCTCTCCCTCTGTGAAGAGGCCTTCAGCGTCGTTGCCTCCGCAAAAGCTGCCCTTCTGCTGACAAGGTTTAACTTGTACTAACCTCAAAGTTGAGGAGGGCAAAATTAAATTTTTGCAGACTTCTAATTGCACCGTTGAGGAAGTCTTTATTGGATTCTTATTTATGTATATTATTAACTAGGAATTGACAATACAAGAATGCCAACTTAATGACAAGCTAAGATGACTATACTTTGGTTCATTAAATGGAAAACAACACGGTTATCATTAAACCTCTTAAAACATATGTTAGTATATGGAAAGTCAAACGAGAATTACCAATCAAGACGCAGTGATGCATTATTTTGGCATGTGAAATCTTATAAATGGTCACATTTATTCACTGTTCCACTATATCATAATTTATATTGATTTTCCGGCATGCGGGCAGAACAACTTGAGCAAGAACGACGGTGGGGGGTGCCAATGCTCCACAAGTTACCTTCTCGAAACATCGACTAGGACTATTCAAAAAGGCCAGTGATGTTTGTGCTCTTTGTGCTGTAGAGATGGCAATTATCTCTCTCTCCTAGAGGCAAGCCTTCCTATTTTGGCAATTATCATTCTCTCCTAGAGGCAAGCCTTTCTATTTTGGTCACTCTTCTGTGGATGCAGTCCTAGATAGGTTTGAGCATCCTAAGAGGGCTTGTAGCGATGCTACTCAACAGGCTCAAACTGATGGAAACCAACTCCGAGACGAAGTGAACAAATAATATGCAGATCTGCTCGAGCAACTGAAAGTTGGAAAGAAACGAGCTAAAGAGCTGAATGACATTAAGCCCCTGCAATTCCAAAACCTTAGCTTCAACGAGTTTGTGGTATTAAAGAAATGGCTGGAAGATCTCAAGAAAGCGGTAAAGAAGATAAGGATGGAGCTCTTGGCCTTAGAGGCTTCAAGTTCAACTCCTTGCCCGACAGCTGTTGATGCCACTATCATTAGTCAAACCTATGATAAATGCTGTGATCCCCGTAAAGCAGAAGTTGGGAAATGAGTAATCAATTCCAGCGGAATTAGGGGAGAGATTGTTGAGTCATCTTAAATTGTAATTTAAGACGACTCAACAATCTCTCCGCTTCAACAAGAGAGGCGTCTCGATAATAAAGCTATAAAAAAGCTCAAACAGCAATCTTCTTTTTTTCCTATGTCGTTTTGGTTGAAATTGCTTGTTTTCATTATAGTCTTGTGACAGATTTTTTTTCAACCGCGTAAGAACCAGCACCAGAGGAACCAACATATGAGTAATTCCTGAAGAGGAAAATACAGAAAGGCAGAGCAAACACAAACTATTGCCTTCGGAATCAAATTTTTGAACTCATGATGACCAATGGTCCAATGAGAATCCAAATTGATTGAAGCAAAGCAAAATCAACACAATGAGTGAAACCGGCACATTATTGCTCTTATGATACACTATAATTTACATTCAAATTACCCAGTTTGTTCATTTATCATGCGAATACTGGGGTACCTGATTTATACCGGTGATAGTCTCCGTCCTTCATGAAACGAGCAAGGTCCGAGTTGTGAGAAGCTCCCATCATTTGCTTCCCCAACATGTCCTCATACTCCCTCCACCATTGCATGTAGCTGCTGCTATCCAAGAAAATATCAGGAGAAACAGCATAGTTCTTGAGCAAACCCATGACATGCTCCTCGAACCTGACCAAGTTTTCTATTTCAGCACTGTTCAATCCTCCGCTTTTCAACAACCTGCACGATATTCGTGCCTCCTCCACGTGTGCCCAGAAGCATGAATCGTCCGTGACACTCACCATGTTCTTCTTCATTTTTGATTTGTTAGGGACACTCTTCGCAGACTGTTTCAGATGTTCATCCAGCCACTGTTCCAATAGTTTAAAGTGCTTGGATCTCCCTTGAGATATGTAACCTCTTTTGCCCCATTTATAGTACTCGGCTATCTGGAGCGGCTCGACCATCCTGCGGTAATTTGTCCCTCCGAAGAGCCAGCGGGTCCGCAGTGGCGCTCCCTCTCTCTGAGGCCTCTCCTCCGCATCTTTTACCACGCGTTCCCAGTAAATCGTGAGCGATTTTACGAACTGAACGGCTGTATAGTCACGCCTATTCATTTTGTATTTGAAGCTGTCATAGTAACCAGAACCCTGACCATCGTTTTCGCATTTCTTCTTGTACCATTCCAAATTAGCCAGGCACACTTTCATGTCGTTCAAACTCTTTGCAGGATCAAATACTTGATTCTTTTGCTCTAGGACATCTTTTTCCAACTGGACTATCTCCCTCAACAGAGCATCAATATCCATATTCTGCGGCTGCCATGCCAATGAGAGTTGGTAAATGAACTTCCAAAGGATAAAAGGAAAGCATTCATAGCAAGGGACTATTTAAGTGGAGCAAATTTTCCGGGTTAAGTATGTGAAGCTAAAAGCAGGGATATGGTTCTTTTTGGTTTATGCGGCAAAGCACAATCATCCTTCTGGTTTCGACTAGAACAATTGTGAAATCCCCTCCTGACATGTATTCAGAACACGCGCAAAAGAAGGTACAATAGATAGTTACCTGATTTTGCATAAGGCCAATTGCTGCAACTTGCACAGTTATCCCAGCTTTAAATGAATCGGTATCATACGCACTAAATGCGGAATGGTTCTTGCAAATCGATTGCCGTTCAAGACAGTTAATGATGCTCTTATAATGGAAAGCTTGGGCACTTTCGGAGCTCCTGGGGGCAAGCAACTTAATTATGGATTTAGGGTCTTCGAAACATGCACCACCCGATTCAGAACACACAAGAAATGTACCAAAAGGCTTGTATGGACTCTGCTCCATGGTCAACGGGTGAAAGAGTTTCGGGAAAGAGTCATCCTTATGAGCCACATGCAAGAAGCAAGTACTCCAGGTTGAATATTGTGATATGGCTTGTTGGAAGCCACCGTCCCCAATGAGGGGCGAACCGAATGTGATGCAAAGTGGACACTTTGTGGTTGCTAAATCGAGCGTGCGTAGGAGCCATAACGTGAAAAGAGAGGCAATGGATCCACCCAAACAGTCTCCTGTTATAATGTGTGGAATAGACTTGGAGGAAGTTGCTACCTGCATCAAAGCAGGATGAGCATCGACACACACTAGTCTATGGGGGCCAATCAGATTTTCTTACTTGCACATGCGTCCCGAAGTCAGTTTTGCAAACATAATCACACTATTTCCATTATGATATCATTGGGAAAAACAAGCCATTGAACAATAAAATAAATGGAATCGGGCACCGAAATTACAACCACACTCGAGTCACTCAAACACTCTCACTGTTTCCCAACTGCCAATTACACTCAATAATTCATACAGAATTTAGACCTCACAATTCCTCATGATACAATATATCAATCTCATAAAGGAATTCACAAATTTTACCACAAGATTTATTGGTTTCAAAACACTTGTAATTTCTTCATGACTTAATTTACGAGCATGCCGCACAATTAATTGTTACAGCTAAAAGCTCGAGCAAAAAACCAAAACCCCATCTTTTATATATATAATACTTGGATCCAAAATAGGAAACCCTTTTAGCATACTCAAATTAGGAGATCTAGTCAGACAAAATATAACTTTAACACAGATTTACCATTATTCGGTCAACCAGAAGTCCCCTCAAGACTTTCCTAATTTACATCAAAAGTCCAATTTAGAATTTCTACTTGGATCAGGTCGTTCAAATTATAAGTATTCTCAACAGATATTGTGGTCAGGTTAGACAAAATGTCGAACCAACTTTTACACACCACACTCAAGTTCACCTCCACAGTCAGTCAAAGGAAGGACATTGACAATTGACACTAGGATTAGGGAATTCATGGCGACTCACTTCCTTATTCTCTAGTGGTATGCTTAAGATTAACTGGAAACGTTGGAAAAGGCAATGGGCCATCAATGCTAGAGGAACTGTTCAGACAATTAACTGATTGCTTATCATCAGCCATTTTGCCATATGATGCAATTCACACTGAAAGAAGCAAATGATCCACTTTTCAATCAAATAAAGCTAATGTTATGTGAAGAAACAGCTCAAGATGATCATCAGTGAAGCAATTATTAGAGCATATGTATGTATAGCAGGAACCCACTTCAATAACACCTAATTCCTAGATCTGACACCAACTTGTTATGATCTCAAGCAGGGACTAAGCGAAGCTCATTGACCTTCAAAATTAGTAACTTGGGCTCATAAATCACTCGTAAAGAAACGAAAGATAAAAGGGTATTACCTGTTCTTTCAGGGAAGAGAGCTTCTTTTGGAGAGAGTTGAACAGAGAAATCGCAGCTTTGTTTATGGCAAAACGCGGGTTGTCCTTGGAGCAGAGAAACTTAAACTCAGAGGCCTCTGATGAAGAAGAAGGGACCAAACCGCTCTCTTCTTGGAGATCACTGGTAGCAACTGGTGGGGTCACCAAAGCAATGATTTTGTATTCCGGGTGTTCAAATTCTTGAATCTTCACGGCGTCAGAAGACGGTGGGCCTTGGTGATTGCGGTCAAACTGGGACTGGAGTTCAGAGATTGCAGCCCACGATTTGGAAAGAATATCGGAGGACACGGCCAAGTTCGCCAAATCGAGTCCGTTGCTGAATCTGCAAAAGAGCAAAAAAATCAAGAACAAGAAACCCACTGTGAGGAACAAGAAACAAGAACGCGCCCTTTGGGAAGCGAAGCGGATCAACTGATCGCCAAAAGGCGCACTTTTTTCGCGGATTTCGAAGTTGGGTCTCGTTCGATTTCGATTTCAGAACAAAACTATGAAGTCGAGGAAGATAAAAAAGCAGCTCTTTCTTTTGCTCTAACACGTACAGAGGTTTAGCAGCTTGAGCAGGGTCCATAGCCGGAGCTTCGTTATTGGGCTGTCGTTCTTCCGGAACCGGCGAGTCGATGCCGTTTGAGTTGCGCCTTTTCGGATTTGGAGAGTTGAAACAGTCGGAAGCAAATGGCCGTTTGCTCGATAAATTCCCCATCGACAACCCAAACCAGACGACTTAAATCTCGAGACGGGGACTCTGAATCTTGCTTTGTTTGGACTTTTCTTTTTCGATTCATGGCATACCGAATTCTTTCATAAATGCCAAAAGCTGGTCTTTGCTTCTTCTTCGTGGCTACCCAGTCAACCAATGAAAAGAACCGCGGGTATAAACTACAGTACAATAACGCGGGAGTTTAAAGTTTTTTATTTGAACGGGGTGGCCCAGGAGACAGGTCTATCCTTTGCGTACCTTGATCTCTTCTTGCTTTGTAACAAATTGCTTTTTCTAGGATGCTGCTATAAAAGTTTCACGTGCCTTTCTTTCTCCTACCGCCACCTTGTCCGTCCGAAAGGAAGTTGCTTCGAAAAGTTGTTGGCAAGTAACGACTTCCTCGGGTCAAGTCTGTACAGGGAAGGTTGTGTTTTATTCCCTTCTGCCAGGACTTCTTGATTAAGGAATCGAGTAGGGCTGAACTCGAGTCTAACTGAGTCGGACACGGCTTCGGAACTCGAGTCGAGCCCGGCTGTTTGGATTCAGATGCTGCTCGATATTCGATTCGAGGTCGACCGAGTCTGTGACTTCAGCCTCAGCTCGATTCTGTTAAGTGTTCTTCCGAGCTTGAGCTGATCGCTCGTCAATAACAAAAGTAAGCTTTCCTTCAGGTCAAAGTTCAAACTCGAGACGCGATATTACAATAAAAATAAATATCATGCCCAAACAAATGTATGAATTATGCTATCCGATCAGTCTCGCGAGTCAATCGGGCGGCGTCGTTTTCACGTTCGAGCTCGATCCCATCCAATATTCGTGCGAAAAGAGAAGGTGTTTCTCTTAACTGGTCGTGCACTACCTTGTGGACCATAGATGGAATGGAAACGTCACGGTGAGTTGCGTCACGCTGTCTAAGTCATAATATAATCGGATCTTTCTTCATGAAGCGTTAATAACGCATTGACAATTCCATAATGTACGAACGGGCCTTTCTTTATGACGCGTTAGGAAAAGTCGTTGAGTGCACTCTGTCCATCTGTGGATCCTTCTATCGTGGGGACAAAGAAAACTGCTGAGAACTGGCCCAAGGCTTCTTTATTCTCAAGTAGGCAATGTAGACACAAGGACTTGGAGAGAACTGTCACGTAGATGTGAAAAGCATCTCTTCCATATAAAAAGTGTCCCGCAGCAGCATAAACAGAAAAGAAACTAATTCATGATGGAAGTTGAATGCAAGAACAAAGCAGATCATGCTCCCACGAGATCTGAGTTAGAAAGTAGGCTCTATGTCGCCGGGTGAAAAATTGTCAAAACTGTCGTGTGTATAGGTCAATCGACACGATGGAAGCAAGTGCGGCGAGGCGTTCACATATGGTAGCCTCCGTGATTGGACTTCGCCATTTGGCTCCATATTACCTGCCACGTCATCTCGACCTCGAAGCAAAGAACCAAAAAGAATTGAAGCATGTCCCTGAGATCCTACCGTCATATAAAACTGGCAACTGATCTCAAGGCTCCGGTCCAACTTCAAGGGATCATCGTACTTTACGAGATGATGGACGATCTGATCTAGTTCTGATGTCCTTTGTGTATATATCGGTGAGAGCGAAAAGTAACAGCACAAACACGACTTGAGCGCTCACGATCCCAAAATGACTGATGCTGTTACCGATTTCCATCCAGCTTCCAGTATTGCGGACCTGATATTAAATAAAAGCAACAGCAAGTTAGGTTGGCAGAATAAGAACTACAGTTAGAAACAAGTTCTGCGAGCAAGCTAGACAATGGAAGCCGATAAAGTTATAGGGAGGAGAAGTACAGCAAGAATATGGTTACCAGAAAGAAAAAGTGGATGGTCATCACATCTGAAAATAATATAACAAGGAAATAACATCCTGATCGTGGAACTCGAATCAGTTTGGCTATTGCACTAAAAGTACATCTGCATTTACAAAAGACAGATTATCATCAGATAAGTAGATAGGCGGTTACAACCTATATCACATCAAAAGCTACCAAGTTTCAACCGATTAAGAGAATAGTTCTATTATCATAAAGGTAAATGACACACAATCAATCAATGAGAAAAGATCATCTCACTAGGGAGAAGAAGTAAAGAAGACCCTTGCTCAGTGACCTTCAACAGGCATATGTTCAAATAATCATTTTAACTTACCAATGATTCACGTGTAAAAAAAGTCGTGAAGCACATGGCATCTAGGCCAAAGGTTGACCACAAGAACTAAAGTTGCAACTAGACTTGCAGTGCAGCTCGCTGCTTTTGCAGTATAGCATTCTTAGGAGATCCCAGAATTCAGAATACCAACTCGTATTAATTAATAATCCATATCACCTTGATAAAACCAGAAAAGTAAGCACTCACAAATCTCTGGTTTACGATAGTCCATAAAGTGAGACTTCAATATCCTTTAATTTTAAGCCTTTCCAGACAATCGATATGTATTAAATTTGTGGAGACGTGGCAGCTCTGCTAGATCTTGGTCCACATATACAGATTGCACAAGAAAGATACTAACGGTGGTTTTAGTTGTAACACATATAAAGATGTCCACAGTAGTTAACCTCCCCCAGAATAGTATGAACAAGACAGAAGGCTCGTCCCTTAAAGATTGATCTAAAGATAACAGGGTCTTCTCATAAACATATTTCACTAAAAGGTTTGAACAAATAAGATGAGCTACGTTCTCTATGGGCTACAAGCTGTTAAAGAAGGAAAGAACGAAAATCTCTCACAGAGAAAACAAAAAAAAATAACTATTGGATAATTAACCAAAAATCATACCCCAAAAATAAAACAAAAAATCGGGTGATCGAGGAACAACCGTTCATTGTAAACAGTAGCAATCGACGTTTTTTTTTAATTTTCAATGGACAGCCATCTTTTGATCTGCTAATATACTTGCTATCATGGGAGAAAGTAAGAACTTACATGACAAGCATGAATGGTATGAACAACTTGAAGATAAGTAGGGCTGCCATTAGAAAAGGCTGCAATGACGGTAACACACATCAACTTAGTGGAAGCTTTGTTTTTAAATGGAAAGAAGTTGTCACTGATAGGGGTTACTTACACTGAAAACAGTTATAAATCGGTACACAGACGAAATTTCAAAGCTTGCAATGCTCGCAAAATTCCCTGTCCCGAAAAAGGCAACATTGAAGAGTACCATCTGAAAAACACGGACATTACTCCTATTATCTGAATAGTGAAAGGAATTTGAGGAAATATGAAATAACATAGGAAAGCACCCAATTCTGCAAGTTTTTGCACTCTAAAAACATTTAACATCAGCAACATTTACATGAGGACCATATTGATAAGAAAAAATGGATAGTGAGCCCATATGATGACTTTATGTTCACATTTTCCCCAAGCATGCTTATTAAATCTATTTAATGCTCTCGCTTAGCCGAAGAAATTCTCTGTTGAAAAAGTCTAACAATTAATCAATTAGGATACGACTATGCCAATCATAAACAACACATGCATAAGCCATCTTTTCTCCATATGATATGCATATTTTATCTTAAAAAGACAGAGAGATTAAGTGACTCAAATTACTTTAAGGGCAAGATGGAGAGAGGAGAATGAACTTACAAAAGTTAGAGGAATTCTCACGTCAGAGAGCCGCAAGTATCTATCATTAGTTTCAAGAACAGCATTTTCCACCGTGCTCATATTGGAGACAGTAATCTTCTCAGTTTTACTTAAATAGAGCAGTGTGTTTTCAAAAAGTAACCACGCCATAAGTGCAAGAGCAAGTGCTCCATAGAAGACAGCTTCGTATCTACCATGTTCCATATAAAGGGAAAAGAGGAAAATACATGAAGCACTGTTCTAACAGGATGAATGTCTTGAAAGTTAAAAAAACATAGGCCGATGAAAGGTATATAAAAGACGTTTACCCAATAGATAGAAGAAGGAAAGGGGGAGCAAAACCAAGAAATATAGAAGTCAACCGAGATAAGAGGGTATTTTCTGAAAACAAAGGAAGAATCATAGAAGAACCTACAATAGAGAGAACACCACATGATTAGAGATAAAGAGAGTTAAAATGCACAAAATAATAGCAGTAGAGCATAGATTAATTTGCACAAATAATAGACTAGGAACCTAAATATAAGTCCAGTAAAAATAACACAAAATCATGCGGCAAATGAAACATAATAATTTGAGTTCCGTTAATAAGTTTGCTATGCTATGTCGCAACATATCTAACTTCAGGCAACACTAGTTGCAATCCAATGTATTGATCATGGACCCAATTTAAACACATGTTAATCCTCCTCACAGGCCTCCTCTATCTACAAAAGGATCATCAAGCACCAGCCAATGCAATGAGTCAGTGTGACTAGTTTACTTCTGACTTTGGCACATCTGTAGCACCAGTACCCAGGCGACCAGGTTATGATTTGTATACAAGTGACTCTCCCTCAGATGGAGATTATAATCAGAGAAAAATGACATTCCAAAAATACATAAATAGGTATGCCGGTAAAGATAATGAAAATGGAAATCTCTTTAATCTTCAAAATTAGCTGCACGACAGAGAAAAAAGTTCGAGTAAGTGGCAAGAAGGAGCCACAGCATACCAGCAATGAGCCAATTCAGGAGCTGGTGAAATATATGTAGTTCTTGGTTCTGCATTCTGTGAGATGTCGAGAGTGATACCATCATTGAGGACAACCCCACCAATAGTACCTATCGGATGAGGCAAGAAAGCTGGTCTTAGTGAAAGAATGGTACGAAAATCATCCAGTGAAAACTGATGAAATTTCCAAAGAGAAGGTAGATATAACAACATGCACCTGCAAGAGGAAGAGCATGGAGAACTTTGACTTTTTCATGTCACCACTACAGATACTTGACCAATACTTACTGCCTTCAGCATGCTTGTCTAGCCACCTTGCAGTTACTCCTATTACAGTGATCATAGCTCCGCTAGATATCCTATACAAAATAGTCATAATGCCCAGCATAGGAACAAAATCAGCTGAAGCTAATGCAAAAGAAAGTTAAGGTCAACCGAGGATGACAAGTATATACAGGTGGAGGACTCTTTTTTCACTCTTTCCATGGAGAAATTTGGGTTCTTCATGTCAATGCTTTGTACAACTTAATATCAGCAACTAGTCATCAGCATAAAGTAGAACAACTACACCAAAGATGACAGAACTTCCATTTTCTTAATTGACAGTGACATGAGTAAGACTTTTTCGTGGTAGTTTCAGCATGCAAAAGCAACCTGATGCTCCAAATACAATATGTGGCCTAAAGAAAGAGTGCTATGTTAACATATGCAGTTCTTGATAGTGGTCAGTATCTCAAAGCAGGACCTTCAAGTTAGGGATATTGAAGAAAAAAAGTAGATAGAGAGAATACAAACCCCACCCCCTCCAAAAGAAAAGTAATTGAAAAACAAACTTATAAGTGTGTGAAAGAACAAGTCAAGACTTGCCACTCTTAACGCTCTGAAAAATAAGTCATAGTTTAGTAAAGTGACATACACCAATGGATTATTATCAGGAATTTCAGCTGGCATCAATGTGAATCCAGAAAGGAACCAACAGGCCAAGCAAACGAAAGCTGGTATCTGAGATCTCCATGGAATCAAATAGAAAAGATAACAAAAGGCAGTAACCCCCGCAAAAAGGAAACACCATGTATAGAGCTTCCTCTCGGTGAAGCTGTTAACCTGATGGATGAATAAAAAGAAATATTCAGAATTCAAAATTATCTATTCACCTGGGCGAATGCCAGGAGTTTGCCAGGTTTATCAAATTTACTTTTGCATCCATACCAGGAATTCGGATATCATGACAGAGACAGCAAGGGTAGCTAGAAGTTTAAGGACATAATTTAACTTCTCTCCGCGTAAGTATCTCCAAAGTGCTTTTAAAAACTGATGCTCGCCAATTATTCGTGTCCAAAGAAACATGGTCATTGCAACGTATGCATGATAAAGAGGGGGAGAGTGCTCCCAGAATAAAATCATAGACATAAGTCCCATTGCAGCAAATCCACATACAAGTATCTGCCATGATAGGAATTGAATGTCAATAAGAAGAACCTGGGAAATAATGCAAGAAGCAGAGTTTGTCCCTAAAATGGGAAAATAGATTCATCAGAAGGCCCATCCAAAAAAGAAAGAACTGTTTATCAGATAAAAGGCAACCATATTATATCCAAGAAAAATCCAGCTAGAAAGCAAAATGACAAAAACAAATCGACCGGAGTTTATGCCATAGGACTTATCAGCAAAAGAGAAACTTTCCTTACTAGTGAGCACGATCATAGTTTCTCAAACAACAATGCTCCTATGATAAACCAAGAAAAGGTCAACAGTACGGTAGAAGCTGCAGGACCATCTGATCACTTAAATCCCTTTTCACTGGTTCTAATGACAACACTTCCACCATGAAGGTTGCCTTGCACAACACCACCCCCAAGCTAAATTACTGTATGTTTCAGTCAGCTTGCAGTTTGCAATGCATAGCTGGGAAAGGATTGTGATTCAGGAACTTAGTTTCTTGACATCTGTTTATGATGCCATGCCAAAATGTGTGCACATCTCATGTCTAGTTCTATAGTCTTCTTTTGTCCCCCTGGTGGATAAGTAACATAGGAGTAGGAAGATAAAAATTGAACTTCAAGCCTTTGGAATCTTGATAAGGGTGGACAACTGCTAGGTAAACCCTTCTTCCTCATGTCTGTATTCTTATTCAATATTAAAATCACAAACAAGGCTTACACATTACTTTTCTGGTGTCTTTTTTCTGCTGCACTGCTTGCTCCTTTCGGAATAGAACACCCAGCAATGACGTATAAGATTGCAGCACGTGGAGAACGAGATAGACCATCCAACCAATATATCCCAAAGTAATTACAGCCATCAGCATCAGCCAATCATAAGTTTGAAAATAATGAAGGCCTTCAAGAGCCAAACTCCTTAAATCTTCACTTCGCTTCAATGCAGCTTTGTAATCGCTGATGGAGATCAGTTCCTCAATTTGGTCCACAACTGACATATAGTGCTCTAGTGGTTTGAATGGTTTGAAGAATATTGTATTTGACTGTTTTATATCTGAACTTGTCAAGCCAATAGTCAAAAGAAACTTTGTTGTCTCCTTCTAATCCATGCACACAAATCCGAAACTCAATATGAAAAAAAAAAAAATCATAACAAGTAAGTTTGCAACATATGGCAGGTCATCTAATGGAAATTTATGTCAAGAGGATCCACTTAAAATTGTTAAACAATATAGAACATAGACATTATTTACAAGACTTTATGTGACATGCTATACTATTGCCCAAGTGTCGAACGAAAATTATGTGAACAGCAAAACTGGGATTACACGTAAGAAATAGGGTAATTTTTTAAATGAAGACTGCAGTGATTTGAAATTCCAAGTAAGCTTCCTCAAAATTCATATTATCAAGACTAAACCTGACATGAGACTAGGATACGTGATTTTTGGAGGAACTGGTTTAGTATTTGTTTTGTATTGGACAGCACAGCTTCAACTTCCTCTGCCTGCAAATGAATGAAAAGATTTCTTCTTGTTGCATCAGGAGATATCAACAAAATTTGCCACACTAAGGAATGAAGATTCCACGTTATCTTTAGATAAGAGAAATCATTTAATAAATAAAGTTAATCATACTTGTGACAGAATTCAACATCTATAGATGTTATACTACTTAGAACTCACCACATTCATATCGATGTATCCAAGAGGCAAATTTCCCACTGAGTTCATAGGACATGGCAAACCAAGAAGAGTTGACTGCCATAAAACAAACAAATAAAATTTATGAAGAATCCACATAGGCTAACAAATTGATTAAATAAAACCAATCTGTTATACCATAAGAGGTGCAATATCAGCTTGATTGACATCCACTCTTTCAATGCCACTAAGGCCCCATGCTGTAGGTGTTGGCATGTCATGCATATGCTCATCAACAAACTGGCCATGATCAGAGTGGTCACTGACAAAACCTGATTTGGGATATTTAACCCCAGCTCCCCAAACAACAAGGGGTGTGTCAGTGTTGGAGGGATGCCCATCTCCATGACTTCCTATCAGTTACACCTTAATCATATTAGCTTCAGCATCTAAAAGGTACTGGAGAAAAAGAACTAATGAACAAATACTTATGAGTGCCCGGCAGACTCCAAAAGAAAAAGAGCATGATGAGCGTCCTCATTGCCGAACAGCAAAAACATTCTCTCTTATAGAATTGTTTTCTTTTTAGCCTATGAAAGGACTAAAGTTTGGCCAAGGGAGCACCTTATTAATGCTGGGGCACCCAGCAATGCAGTAAAGGATAGGCTCAAATGAGGCAGCAAGCACCAAACCATTGCTATCCAGTAAGTGATTGCGGTTAAATTCAGTTCAAGTACAATATCAAATCGAAGGTGTCTATAGGGAAAAACTCGGCAGTCTACAGTTAAATAGCCAAAACTAATGAACACGCAATCAATTTAACCAGACTACAACTCTAGCTTTCCATCCAAATCAAGTTTCATATTTTGATTGGACATTGATAAAGAAATTCTTCAGCCCAATACAAAATTCAATACATATGTTAACATGTGAAACTAGAGAAATCCTTGCCATATGTGACCACTTCTACATCCCATTAGATGAACCATAAGATAAATTTGCTGTTCGGCACACATGACTACAAGGGGAAAAGCTGAACGTGGATTCTTTGGTAGTGGACACAGATTTGCCAATTGCAACCATCCAAAAAACCCTAGTGATGACTTGCTGTACATCATCTAATGGAGGCAAGTTTGATCATCAGGAAATGCAAGGACAAAAGCCAGGAATTGACTCGAGATAACTGGGCAGCAGAAATGCACACCCTAATTTTAGGAAAAGGATTACCACGAGAAAAAAATTTCTGAACAACTTTGCATGTTTATTAGGCAATTCACCTCAGTAACTTTTTCCAGAAATGAAAAAAAGACAAACGTGTCATATCAAACCTTTGTCGCTCATTCCGTGATCAGCTGTAAAAACATATGCAGTCCGATTATCCTTGTAATAACCTTCAACGATATCAAAAACACGTTTGGCAATGTGATCAACGACCTTAACATTGTTGAGATAGATGGACGAGAAGGGTCGATGAGCATGTCCATTTGAGTCACAGCCTAGTAGATGGAGAAAGACAACCAGATTATCCTGTTGAAGTGCTTCTCTCAAGTCCTCGTCAGTAAAAGACCTGTTCAAGAGGCCTTGAAATTGATCAAAAGACCACTCATCCAAAAAGGATGCATCTGCAACAGCAAAAGCAAATCATAAAGATATGAGGTAAAGAAAAAAAACACAAATACACCCTGACAGGAAATGGAGAGGAGTGATAAACACAATAATTGAGTCTATATCAACACTGACGAGCCATTTAGGTGTGAATTAAAGTAATATTAACACCTGAGGTGGCCGCGTGTAGAAATTGTAATGAGCACTAGTTTCAGAATTAGAGGAATTCCCAGAACAACAAGCACAAGTAATTTTAGATAAAGCACGCAAGGCTCACTGAATCAACTGATAAAACATCCAGATGCATTTAAGGAAATAAATAAAATCTAAGTTACGGACAAAGTAAAGAGTAAAAACATGCCATAAGAATACTTTCTGAGATTACTCTTCTATGCATGTCTTAAGTGAGAGAGAGAGAGAGAGAGAGAGAGAGAGAGAGAGGTACTCAGGTAATCACTCATAGACTGTAGGCTTGTACCTGACGAAAAATTACCATGGGAAGAACTAACTGTGAAACATGAGTAGACAATGAGCAAAATTTAATTTTTGAGGTACCACAAGAGATGGCAGTTTTTCTTAATCTCTACGCAAATTACCAAATTCACATCAAACAGATTTTGAGTTCAACAGGGTGAGCATATACCAGTTGCGAAGTCTTCAAACTCATGTGGGTAGCTGTTCCAAGTGCTATGTGGCAAGGCACCACAGAATATAGGAACTATGTCTGGGCTACCAAAGGCATAGGTATGTTTGCTTCTATTAAATACCGAGTCAAATTCAACAGGATTAGCTTTCCATCCTGCAAAAGGGATGTCACCCATTAGTGAAGAGTCACACCACATCAAGCACTCGTTAGCCGATAGGAGTCTAAGTTGGAGATGTTACAATGCAACTGAGAAGTGTGATAAAATAGACAAATAACTGACCTTTTGTCACAGCACTGGGATCCTCATAAAACCCAGCTATAATAGCAACATGTCCAGGCCTCGATTCTGTAGGAGGACGAGCATGTGACACTCCCCAGCGACCTCTTTCCTTAATTATACTTCTCAAGAAAGGTGCTCTAAAGTTTCCTTCCGAATCCGGCTCATAAAATTTATCCGCACGCAATCCATCCGCTGCAAATTTAAATTTTCACCTGTGTCACAGAGTAACTTCTTGCTAGAAGTAACAGGCTCAGAGAAAGCTTAATAACCAACTTTGAAGCAATCACAAAATGTTCAAGGCAAAGTGTCCTCCACGACAATCACATAGACAGACAAACTAATAAAGATATCCCAAACTTTAACTTCAACACAGTGAAAAGTTAAAAACCTACGAGGGAAGCAACAAACCTGCCCGCTTTGAAGTTTACAATCTTCAGCCCAATTCTTTCACTTGAAACCAAACAAACGCAGCACAGGCAACGCAGTTTCCGTAGCTAGAGTTACATTGAGCTAAGAAACAGCAAGACCTCACACCCAGAAGGCAAAAATGCAAACTTGAGGTCGAATTTAAAAGCAAAAACCCCAAACAGGTGGTGGGCGCGACGACATACCGACGACGAGAACGAGGCGCTTGGCGGGTGCGGGGAAGCGAGGAGCCACGGGATCCATGCCGTGGACAATGGGAGTCTTGAAGTAGATGTCGAATATGCTGAGCATGTACACGGCGTGAAGGGCCACGCCCAGGACCACGAGCCATCCCTCTCGCCTCTTCAGCCACCTCCGCTTCCTGCTGACGCCTTCCCTGGCTCGGGCGTCGCCCACCCCCAAGATCCCATCTTCGACCCCCATTGATCTTGTGCTTTCTTCGCGCGATCTGCAACTAGGATTCGTGGCTTCGGATTGCTGATATTGTTCGGGCTGGATCGGAAGCAGAGCTCAAAGGTAAGCGCTTGGGCTCTGTTCGGTTGAAGCACTCGTACAGAACGTATACACGAGCCGCGAGAGGGTGGTCACCGGGAAAGATGGGCTGCTCAAAACAAGGAAGTTGGAACCTTGGAAAGGAAAGACATTTTGTTGAGCTGCTGAGGAAAATATTATTATCAGCTGGGGATGTTTGGTTTGGCATGAGCTAATCAGAAAATCTTTTTTCGAATTTGTTGTAAAAAGGAAAAAAAAAAGTTTCACATCTTATTGGTTATTTTTTGAAAACTTCAATGCATTAAAAAAAAATCATATCGTCCGATCTAGATAGCCGGTTTGAGTTTAACCCTGCAAAATCTACCAATTTATCTAGAACGAGGAATAATATTTCGAGAGCCATAGTCCATATCCCTTTCCTTGGTTTCGAGGTGAGCTCCTTATGATCTAATAAAAAGGAATGTAATTGATCGATTTGTGAAGCAAAATTGACATGATGCAGATATTTTTGCTTAAATCTACATCCCCGCTTTCCTCCTCTTCTAATTACATAGCAAATATGTTCCTATCATATATTTCATATTTGTAACAGCAGTCAGATGTTTAAATTTAAGATAACCTAAACTCATGTTGGTAAAAACTCTTTTTATTACAAAGTGAATAGAGTTTAAAATATATCCTCAAAACAAACAAACAAAAATTTACAATTTTCAACGCTATTTCAAGAAATTGGGCTTCTGTTGCATTTACTTTTACTCGTACAGCTTAGTGCAAGTTTGAAATTGCATTTCAAGTACTTCTCACAACGTAACAGACAGGACATTCTTTCAGTTGCCATTATCATGGGCAGGAGACGATTTGTTCATGCAGTCCAAACATTAGCATTGTACCCACGAACTGTTTCAAAACGATACTTTGTTCAGCAATGACCTCGAAACAGAGATCATAAAATTGTCGCCTATCTTGGATTAGTAACAAAGATGAGCTGACGATAAGCTAACAGTTTTCTTACTTAGCAGTTAGCAGCAAGCAGCAAGCTGATTCATTCAAGCGCTCAACGATCATTTTCCAGTTCATTTGTCTTCACAAGCACATGAACCACAACAAAGTCATACAGAACCCAAACATAGACCAGACAAATATATGGATACTATTACTAATCATTCCCAGACCATCATATCTCCCCTGGACATTGTACACGATATGTAGTTACGATGGAGAACCAGCAATTTTCCACCCTCTTCCAAACTTATTTAGCTTCTGCATTGTTCCATTGTAGGACATTGGTGAGATTGATATGCTGGAGATCATGAGATTTGCGGTCGCCTTCACGGGCACTTGATACGGTTTCCGTGAGTGGTCATGTTGGTGTAGCACTTGCCACACCGCTCTCGGTTTCCGTAAGTCCCCGGCGGCACACACTTGCATCGGTCGCAGCACGTCGTGCAAGCCCTCATGCACACTCTCTTCCTCGAGTGCAGTTTGCATCTCTGCTCGCACAGAGGGATGCAATCTGCAGCAACCAAAAAAGGTTCACCCAACTTAGTGTAATCAGATCCATAATATTTGTGAAAACCAGACGCACTGAGGTAAAGTTGCCAGGCTCCATGAGATTGTGTTGCAGTATTGGGGAATTTGTGCAATGAATTATTCAGCAATCTTCACAATGTGGAAATGCTTTCGATTATTTTCCCCCACCACATGATGATACTCCTGTATAGTAAGAAAAGTTGGACTATGCCATCATGGCCGTCCTACCAATCCCGTCATCACCATCCTCTGAGAGGACCTGAATATGTTGTGACAATACATGGCATGATAGACTACAGGTAAAAGGATGCATTGTACAGTTACCTGCTTTTGACCTGACCGGTGGCAGTGGCGGAGCTGCAGGAGGCGTGACTGGTGGCAGAGTAGGCGGCGGCTTAGTGACCGGTGGCAGAGGAGGTGGCAGCGGCTTAGTGACCGGAGGCAGAGTAGGAGGAGGCTTAGCGACAGGAGGCAGTGGAGGCGGCAGCGGCTTAGTGACCGGTGGCAGAGGAGGTGGCAGCGGCTTAGTGACCGGAGGCAGAGTAGGAGGAGGCTTAGTGACAGGAGGCAGTGGAGGCGGCAGCGGCTTAGTGACCGGTGACAGAGGAGGTGGGTTCTTGGTGACCGGAGCAGGGGTAGGCGGTGCCTTCACAGGAACTGTAGCCGGAGCTGGCGCCTTCACCGGAGCTGGTGTTGGGAACTTGGTATATGGGGCCTATACATATTCCCACAGTGACAAATCAAAGCGAAACAAGCAGTTATGCTCATTTACTGCAGATCTAAACTTCAGCAAGAATGGTCATCTTGCACTTAGGTCCAGTTCGTTACTCCTAAATGACTATAGAACACAAAATATGGCATCACCATTAGAAAATCTCTCGTATATCTATCAACTGTACCAATTGATATACCGACAAGATCACAAACCTATTTAAGTGATCTAATTCCAACAAGGACGAACAAACAATTCATCCATGTCAGCACATCGGCACGGCAAGTGTGTCATATAGAAGATTTTTCCCCTTATTGGGAGGAGTATTTAGTCTCTGTGTTTGTCTCAGATACTTTTGGAGGGATCATGTGTTTTTGACTTAAAATAGTTCCCATATCCCACTCTTCCCCACTCTCCTAAACCTATAATTAAACTTCCAATATTGTGCCAACCATCAGCAAAAAGAGCACGTAATGCAGACCAAAGCATATCATTCAAAAACCGAGTATTTTATCAGCATTATTGAGGCTGAGGCTTTCATTTTCTTTCTTTCCCCCAAAAAAAGACAAGGAAAAAGAATAAAGGGCCGAAGCTGATGTAGCCATAGCCCAAGAACCATGGCTAAAGGATACACTTACTCGTCCTTCATCTTCTAAAGCAAAGGAAAACAAGCTTTATTAACAGATTATCTTGATCACACACATTACCTTCAAAATGAGTTTCTCCTCATTATCAGCAGATGAAACCTACCGAAACAAAGTTAACACCAGATTAGATGTGCTCTAACTAGCATTAAGCTCATTACACACCAAACACACACACTCTAAAAGGCATACCTGTGTAGTGAGCAGAAGCAGAACACCCGACAGAAGGAGCGCGGTTTTTGAAGCCATTCTTTAGGGGGAACTCGCAGAAAGCTGAGTGAAAGAGCTGGAGTGATGAGCTTGCCCACTTGAGTGCTCACCGAACCAGCATTATGCAACCCCTGCAGCTTTAAATGGAGGTTCAGGGTACGGCCAGAGAGAGACAGAGTATGACGCAAAATATATTCTTTAGTTATATAATCAGTATGATTTGTCATTCCTCTCTCTGTTTAAATAGGAACATTCTGTACCATAACACATTTGTCTAATATGATGAAACCAAATAAGAGCGTAGCAAAAGTTGGTGCGGATGCCTAACACATGTGTACATGCATTCGATCTTGTCGATTATACGTGTAATTTTTTTTAAAAACAAATGTTTTTTAATCGCTAGGCCGACCTCACGGGATTAAAACTCTCTTCTTATTTAACTTAGGACTAAGATATAAGCATCAAAAAGAAAAACTCAACATTAACATATTCTGAGTATATAAAAGAATTGGAATTCTGGAGAGATATTTACAAGCTGTCATGGGACAATAACAGTGAGAATGGGGTGCTTGACAGAGACAGCTTCCCCAGATCACCAAGACATTTGAGTAAATTGGCTGGCTGTACTAAACTCGACTTACGTGTATTATATTCAATCCTCAAACGCGAGAAAATTAAAGTGTCCCACCCAACCAGCAAGAATTCCATTAACCTCAAGCGTGAACTATATTCGATCCGCACCATCATATTCGCCGTAACCAACGCGACATTCACGTGAAACTTACCATCTTCAACGATTTGAATTCAATTTAATACACATATCACATTCGTCGCATTAGTAATTCCTGTTGACCGACATGACATGCTCCATGCATCAGTAAGTAAGTGACATCTACCCTTTTCCTTTTTTCACCTAAAGAGTGTTTGTCGTCGCATGAGTATTAACCCGCACACGAGGAGGCATGTCTTTTGAAACTTGGGATGAGGCAACACTGAGTTAGAAAATCTTTGGTCGCTTTGGTCCTAAAGCCAGAGCAAATCGATTACAATGAAAATAAAACAAAGATGGTATCAAACGATGGGAATTCCCACGTAGGAACCTAGTTTATTTTTCCTCGAGTTGTGCTTAATCCGATATGAATTATTTACAAGCGCTTTCAATTAAGGTGTCGAAAACTGGTAACTTATGCAATGCAACTACGTTTTATGACGTGGAGTGGCCAAACCTCTTAAAAACACTTGACGAAATTCATTTTGTCACGAGAGTTCTCCAATTGTATTGCGACTTGGCTAATTACAGAAAGATCCTTTTGAGAGTGGCTCCCAAAAAATTTTACCTCCGATCTTGTTAGGAGTCCAGAGGCCCTTCCCAAAAAATTCTCATACCCAATTTTTTGTGCCCCCGGACCTTGAAATTTTTATTAATTTAATCACTACGATGAAAACGGGCCTACCAAAAAAAAATCCCATGTGACATCACATGCAATGCTAGAAAAACTGGTCAACACAAGTAAGATCATTTGCATTGTGAAGTGTGATGAGAAAGCAATGCAGTTAACGAATTTTTCCACGTGTTATCATTAACTCCGTCATTCTTTTGGAAATCAATTATATTTGAGTGAGTCTGTCATACGCCCAAAAAATCCGATGAATGTGACCCAAAATGAAATTCTTGACTATAGAAATCGCACGAGACCCGTCACTTTCAAATGGTCAATTTCTAACTCATTGCTTGAGTTACGCTCGTGTAATAATCGTCACCAACATGCGACTGTATACGGATGCATGCAAGAAAACAAAACCAAGCTAAAATGAGGAAGAATACAACCCTCACCAAGCATAAGACGAGAGTTGCGAGGCAATGTGGTGAAAATAGTCACACTTTTGGATCGCAAATTGACAGTGCCAGTCCGGTGGGAGGATCAGCTGGGATGAGAATCCAATGAAAACTGGTCAGCACTCGTTGCAGATCTCGTTTTTTAAGGAGAAAAGAGAAAAGGAAGATGAGCAGGAGATGTGATTGATGGAGATATTTTTGGACAGAACATAAAGTTTCTTGCACCCATGAAAAGTTGATTTCACGTGCAGCTAACGTTCAACATTTGTCTCATCTTTATCATAACATAGAAACGGCGGATCAAACAATTCAGTCCATGAATCATAGACATTCCGAACGAGAGAAATACATATCCGAAAAGAAGAAAAAGGGGGGGTTTCTACAAGGAAAGCAGCCATTGTCCTATCCCAGGACTTATTACAGTAATATCACAAGAAGCAAAAGAACATCTTTCCGTATGCCAATTCAACGAAAACACAAGCAAAAAAGAAAGTAACATGGGAACCTATGAGAGGGGCATATTATTTAGCAACCATGTGATGATGGGCGTGTGGAGCTAAGCTTCTATGGGCACTTGATCTTCTTGCCATGGACGGTGGCGTAGTCCCAGGGCATGCACTTGGATTTGGGAGAGGGGACGCACTTGGCCTTGTCGCAGCAAGCTGTGCAGCCCTTCATGCACTCCCTCTCGGGGCGGTGACTCTTGCAGTGCTCAACGCACATTTCCTCACACCCTGCAATTGTAAATGTGTCCATGATCATGAGAGGTCATTCCACTCATGGAGTCCTTTTTTCTTGTTCATGGAAGATAATTTTTCTTAGGTACGAATTCGTTTGTAACAGGCCTAGAGAGGGGGAAAAGAAACTGATCGCACGTCAAATATCAATGGCGTTTATAGATTTCTGAAAAATGATATAAATCTGACAGCAACGCACTTTCACGCAGCATATTGCTGATTGGGTCTATACCATGTTATTTGCATAATGTGCAACTGCTGTTGCATCTTATAATTTGTTTTTCTGGAGATGAATTTTTTTTTTTGACATGTTTTTCTGGAGATGATTGCTTACCGTGTTTTGGTGGAGACACTGGTGGCTCTGAGTGGTGGTGGGGAGGAGGGGCGTGCACGTAATGGTGGGGAGGAGGGGCGTGCACGTAATGGTGGGGAGGAGGAGCATGGGGAGGAGGGGCGTGCACGTAATGGTGGGGAGGAGGAGCATGGGGAGGAGGGGCGACGACCAACTTCACGGTAGTGTGGTGGGGAGGAGGAGCGGGAGCCTTCTTCGGAGCGTGGTGGCGGTGGTGGTGGTGGGGAGGAGGAGCGTGCACGTAATGGTGGGGAGGAGGGACGTGGTGGGGAGGAGGAGCATGCACGTAATGGGGGGGAGGAGGAGCATGCACATAATGGTGGGGTGGAGGGGCGTGGTGGGGAGGAGGGGCGTGGGGAGGAGGAGCGTGCACGTATTGGTGGGGAGGAGGGGCGACGACCATCTTCACGGTAGTGTGGTGGTGAGGAGCGGGAGCTTTCTTTGGAGCGTGGTGGTGGTGGTGGTGGAAGAAGTGGTGGTGGTGGTGGTGCTTCTCCTCACCTGGTGGAGGAGCTTTGTCTTTTTTCGACTGCGCTATCAAAGCATACCACATTCATTATTTTATCCAATTCAAAGAAGGGAGGAAAATTTGATAAAGTACAGCAATGGATTGGTATTCTAAAGTATTAATGATTGGAGTTGCAAAGTGAAAACAGTTAAGCTTTTATAAGTAAAAAGAATGGCAAATCAAAGGACACAACAATAAGCATGGTGATAACGGTGGTATAGTTTATAGTTGGGGAGAAATGGGATTAGGAAAGCATATCTAGCTTCACCTTCACCTTCACCTTCACCTGCATGGGGTGATTTTCACAAGTTTCCTTAAGTGTGGAGCTACACTCACTTAAAAGTACTGCACACATGTGACATCTTCACAGTATGGGAGAGTGGGGTACACAATAGCACATACAAAGAAGCATCTAATACACTACCGTAGGAAAACAACATCTCGAGATCGAGAGAGAGACAGAGAGAGAGAGTTTTGTTTGTCACCTCTGTAGAGACAACTTCACCAGCGACCATAGCCTACAAGGAGAAAAGAAGCGAAACCCTCAGTCAGCCAAAGAAAAAGGGAAAGAAAATGCAATTGTATACCAAGTGATCAGTAGGCTAAAAAATTTGCTTCATACCACGGCATTGACTAGGAGCAGAGCTGCAACTAGGAAGAGACCATACTTCAAATCCATTGTTGCAAGGCAGGAAAGAGTAGGAGAAGAAACCAGAAATTTATTTGTGGAGTGATGAACTTTGAGCTTAACCTCTTGTATTTATATACTCATGTAGTGACACACAAAAGGTCTTCAATAGCTTGATGTTTTTGCTGGGCAACTATGTAAGGTGACATTTGGGGCAATGGAATTTGCAGTTTCAGCTTCCCCCAGATGAATGCATTTCTCTTTTGTCAGTCAAGTACTAGGAGAGAGCAGCTATACCCATGTCTCTGATCCTGAACCATACAACGCTTGGTTCGATAAATTTGTCCAGTTGAAAACTGTTTGATTCTGGTGTACAGCTCAGACTTGTTTCGTCATCAGGAACCTTCCAACGCCCATGTAAACCAAGGCTGGTTTTGGTAAGGTTTTTGGAAAAAGTCTACGGGAAAGTACAAACGACTTCAGGTGAAAAAGGTCTTTTATAAATGTAAATAGTGCTTGACAAATTATAATTTAAAAGTGTACTGGGAAGTAACTTTGATGTAAATGCTATTTGAAAAAAAATACAATTAAAAAGGGCGTTTGTTATTTTTTCTTAAAAAAAGAAAAAACTCAAACCTTCACTAGTAAGTCAGATTTGGCGCTGGCCAACCTCACCTAAGGTTGTCAGCTGCCAGATCTGGCTTGCGGACAGTCGATATGGCCTTGCCGCTGACGTCGCGTGATGAGGCCATTTCCAGAATTTCAAAAGTTTAACGAGGGTAAAGTTGACAAAAAACCATACCGAGAATTGCTAAAACCTAAAGTCTACGGATTTGCTTTGGGCAGAGGGACTTTAGAAAACTTTAAAAATGCAATGCATTTCCTCAAAAGAATTGCCAAACGGCTTAACTTTTGCCTAAGGTCGTTCGGTGGCCGTCTGTTTCCCTGTTTTCAGAGTCAACTGAGGAGGAGCTTAAGATATAGTTTTAATGAGCACCATCTGACATTTGCATTCTGTGAAGCAGATGAGACTGAAAATAATCCCGATGAACCTTCCTCGCCCTGAAATTTGAGAACTGTGCCCATGTGTATAGAATCTGGCAAGAGTTGACTCAATGAGCAACGCCATTCAACGTTGTTAGCATATCCCAGTCTGAAGATAACAGAAGATACTTCCCTTATCAACTTGCTCGTCACAAAACACTGCAAACATAATGCAGATTAAGGACAACTGTTGCCTCGGTTCGTAATGCCACCAAATTGGCCCTTAAACAGATAACAGTCAGCTGGTTATGGCCTAAACTCTCTCTCTCTCTCTCTCTCTCTCTCTCTCTCTCTCTCTCTCTCTCTCTCTCTCTCTCTCTCTCTCTCTCTCTCTCTCTCTCTCTCTCTCTCTCTCTCTCTCTCTCTCCCTTTTCAATAAGCCACTAGCATGGCGTCAAGTTGGCAATCCCGTGAGATCGCACTGTTTAAGACACTCATGGTGGGAACATGCAAGGATGTAATAAAGAATCGAACCGTTTAAGACACTCATGATGGGAACATGCAAGGACCTAATAAACAATGACGCCGACAAGGTACCCATTACGAATAACCTTTTTTGAGGTACCACGCATGAGAACCGGTTAGCTACGTCCCCAGATAGTTATGCCTACCTAGACAATCATACATATGATCTCGATCTTCCACAGAAAGATCAGCCTTGTGACATGTCTTACGTACAGGATCTCGTAAGTAGGTGGGAAATTATTATTGAGGGCCAGGTCAAATTTGATGGATCGACAAGCTTGCATTGCTGGAGGGATCTGGATGGACGGTGGCAAGATCAGCCCTAGAAGCTGAAGCACAAGCCATGCCTATCAACTATGAGATTCACAAAGAGAAGGCCGGTGCATCGCAGGCAATAGGTCTAGTCCTAAACAAGAGTGATGCACGACCGCTCATGGCACTTAGCAGAGGTAATGTCCAGCAAGATGGCAAATCGACCTAGTCAACAGCATACCAGCAATTAATCAAGCACAGCCCAATTGGTCTTTTGGATGCACCAAGCACGAAGACAAAGTTTCTCATGCACTAACACAACGACTCCGTATAATTGTCGATCTTAACTGATGTAGAGCTGCTTGATACCACACAAGACAGATACTTTCACTATGTAACTAGTCCTACAGCATCCAGATTGTTACCTACAAGTCATATGATTTAAGTGTTACTCTTACATAGTTGGTCCAGCGCCTAGATTAACCACTGTCATATAGAACACAATCGTAAGAACCAATCAGAATGAGCAGCTGATGCCTCCGAGCTTGCACAAGATACGATCCACCTCGACTTGACCATCTACAAGAGAACAAGGAAATTTTTCTTTAAATGTCTAATGAAGTAAAAGCTATGTGAATTTGAGTAAGACAGGCACCCACCCCTTAGATCTATGGCCAGATTAGCTAGGGCATCAGCTTCAGAATTGAGTTCCTGGTAAAAGAAAATGTCATTAGAGACAAGAAGACTGCCCAGTCATGAACAAATGGTTGATAATATGACATAACTGCATTAAGTCAACTAAATTACAAAGCTCAAAAAAAATGTTCCCGTTGTTCTAGCAATAGGCACAGTTTAATTGCTCAGGAAACAGTTCAGGAAAATTGTTTTCAAAATCCCATCTCCGAAAACACCCCCCCCCCCCCCCCCCCCGACCAATGGAATGTCATCAAAAGGCCATGCAACAAGACAAGCTAATTGCTGTAAAACCTAGCTATCCTTAAACCAGAATTGAGTGCTTGTCTGGCAAAATGGGGAGTTCAAATGCCAAATTAAACATTAGCCCATTAAGTTCACATCCACCACAGGAGGCCATTCTCCAATAACTTACACTAAAATACCAAAGAACATTAAAATTGCATCTTTTAAGCACATTCGATAAAGGTCATGGGTAAAAAGACTCCTAACCGCAACCCTGAAACTGAAATTTAATAATTTTTCAGTAGTCTAGATATCACATAGAGCTTCTGAAAGGGAAAACCATAATCTGTCTGTACCCTGACGATATGACTGATCTCAAACGATGAAAATTGATCCGTGAGTTCCTTAGCCGCCTTACACAAGTCTGCCATATTCTGATTTTTTGTCTTCCATAGACCCTGAATCTGTTTGATCAAACTTCAAAGGTGAATACAGCAATGATGTGCTCAAATGAAGATTAAGCACTCGGATATATAGCAGCACAAGAAGGACCAAAATTAGGGTGTTGTTACATGATGCAGAAATAGAGACCAATCATGCGAGAATAAATTGGGAAAAAAAACCATTTGCCAGGTGACAGATACACTTTAAAGGTATGCAGTGAAATTATGTTCAAAACGCAGAAATCGCCCATCATGTACAGATTGTTCCTCCAGGTAATAAATTTAAAAACGAATGCTCTAATAGCTCTCTTGGCCTTTCTGCAGAAGTCAGCTAGTAAACTATGGAGCAAAGCTGCCACATTTTTCCAGGTTCATTGCAGCAGGATAATTAGATAACCAAATTAGAGGTCATGACATCTACAAATGGTATCTCACTCTACAAGTCTCCAATGGGTGCACAAATTCCACTGGACCTTCTTAGTCAAAATCTATCCAAGGTATATCCAACATCGCTTTAATACGTGGTTGTAGTGGGCCTTACACTTGTAGTCCCCCTCTTTTGGATTGGAGTTCTGGATCCTCCATGAACCAATTAATCAATAATCTCTCGTGTGAATTCACAAATTCTCATTCCCTGTTCTGCTAATCCACATGCGAGACAATTGTCCTCCATCCAACTTGCACGAGAGGGTGTATTAAACTACGTTCCAGGTTGCTGAAACTGAAGTTTTGCTGGATTTTATATAATGCAATCTCCCTTCACTTAATGGTTTATGCTAACATTGTGAATATGTCTAATTCATAGC